CAAGTCCATTTGTTGCAGGGTGAAATGGCACGGTGTTAATGTGCTTAATTCCATTTCCCTTCATGAACATCTGAAATTCCTCTGAAGTAAACTGGCTACCGTTGTCACTAACTAGCTGCTGTGGCAGTCCAGCACCAGCAAACAGAGTACGAAGAGCTTCAATCGTCGCTGCTGATGTGGCATTCTTCACAGGGAACACTTCAGGCCATTTCGAGTATGCATCGACGACCACTAGAAACATTCTGTCCAGAAAGGGACCTGCGTAGTCGATGTGAACTCTCTGCCACACAGTTGAAGGCCACTCCCAGGTGTGTGGTGGAGCTACCTGCGGTTGACGCTGAGTTTGCAGGCATCCCGAGCATGACTTTGTGATGTCTTCAATCACGTGGTCAATGCCAGGCCACCAGACATGGCTTCTGGCCAGGCTTTTCATTTTAACCACACCTTGATGTCCATCGTGAAGAGACTCTAGCACTCTGTTTCGAAGCTTTGGTGGTATGATAACTCTGGTGCCCCACATCACACAGCCTTGGCATACGGACAACTGTTCACGTCGGTTTGCGTACTCAGGTAGGTCGGCATTACCCTTCCGGGGCCACCCCTTCACCGTCAAGTCGTAGACTCTCACCATTGTGGGGTCACGACCCGTTTCCCTCTTCACCTCCAGAAAAGTGACAAGTAAATTGTCCATCTGCGTCATGTGAAAAAGGTCAGCTGGATCTGAAAACACAGACGTGCCACCTGACTCGAGGGGAAGGCGAGAAAGGCCATCTGCATTTCCATGAAGCTTGGTGCCTTTGAACTCAATCGTGTAATCATGAGCTCCTAGAAACAATGACCATCTCTGCAGACGTGCCGCCATCATAATAGGAACGGACTTGCTGGGATTGAAAATAGCCACTAGAGGCTGATGGTCAGTGATCAGTGTGAAGTGTTTACCATACAGGTATTTGTTAAACTTCTTAACCCCCCAGACTAAGCTCAAACCCTCACGGTCAATTTGGGCATAGTTCTGCTCAGCTTTGTTCAAAGACCTGGAGGCGAAGGCAATAGGCCGTTCAGAGCCGTCCTTCATCTTGTGGGAAAGCACAGCGCCAATCCCGTATGGTGATGCATCACAGGCTAAACGCAGTGGCAAATTGGGGTTGTAGTGCGTCAGCACTTTCTCTGACGTTATCAGTTGCTTTGCTGCCATGAACGCCTGTTCGCAGGACTTCGACCATCTCCATACAGTTTTCACTTGTAACAGACTGTTCAATGGATGTAACACCGTCGCGATGTTTGGCAAAAAATTTGGCGTAATAATTGACAAGGCCCAAAAAGGAGCGTAACTGACTGACATTCTCGGGCCTGGGTGCCTTCAAGACTGCATCCACCTTATCTTGTGCCTTGTGAAGACCATCTTTGTCGATCTTGTGACCGCAGTACTCAATTGAGTCCTTGAAAAACTCACATTTTTCTTTGTTCACTCTGAGTCCAAAGTCTGATAGCCTCTTTAAGACTGTCTCAAGGTTGGTCAGATGTGTGTTTTCATCACTGCCTGTCACAAGAATATCGTCTAAATAGCACTGAGTGCCAGGGATGTCTTGAAAAACTTGGTATATTGCTCTTTGCCATACAGCAGGGGCTGACGCTATCCCAAAAACCAGACGGTTATATTGAAACAACCCCTTATGGGTGTTAATGGTTAGATATTTCTTTGATGAGTCTTCCAACTCCATTTGGAGGTAGGCCTGCGCTAAGTCAATCTTAGAGAAATGCTGGCCACCAGCCAATGAGGCAAAGATATCCTCTATCCGGGGTAGCGGATACTGGTCTGCTTGGAGCACTGGATTTATGCTGACTTTAAAGTCGCCACAGATGCGTAAAGCACCACTCTTCTTTACGACCGGCACAATGGGTGTGGCCCACTCTGACCACTCCACCTTTGACAAGATACCTTGGTCCTCAAGGCGCTTGAGCTCTGCTTCCACCTTTGGGCGTAATGCATAAGGCAGGTTACGGGCTTTGTGGAATTTTGGTTGAGCATTTTCAGTTAAAACTATTTTGGCTTTGATCTGTGCCAGCGTTCCAATTCCATCTTGAAAAACTGGGGCGTAGCGATCCAGTACGTTCCTCAGTCGTTCTGGGGTAGACTGAGTGCTTTCGCTGGACATCTCAATCACTTTGATTGATTTCCAGTTAAGCTGGATGCTACGCAGCCACTCTCGTCCAAATAATGGCACATTGTCACTTTGCACCACATACAGATCCAGTACTCGCTTTGTTTTCTCATATTTGACTTTCACCTTTAATTTCCCCATTGGGGAGACTTTTTCTCCTGTATAAGTCTTAAGTGTGACTGGGGTATGTTTCAGTTTCAATTTGCCAAATTTGTTCTTGTAATCTTTGTAGGATATGATTGACAAGGCTGACCCAGTGTCTAACTCCATTTTGAGTTTCTGTCCCTCAATTTCAGGTGTCACCCAAAAAACATTTTGTCTGTTTCCTTTTACTGAGTGAAGCTCGAGGCAAGCCAATTCCTGCTCATACTCATCTGAATTAGACTCATTCAATTCATTGACACTTTTATTTCTCCATTTTACATTTGTTTTTCTCTCTTTTTGTTTCGTTTTGCACACTTTTTGGATATGCCCTCTTCTGTTGCACTGGTTACAGTCTTTGTCTTTGAACCAACATTCATCGGGGCTGTGGGATTTCTTTCCACATCGGAAACAAGCTGTCATCTTTTCAGCACGTTTTGTTGTCATTTTGTTTACTGTACATTCGCTAGACGAAGCTGTCTTCTTTTGTAATTCAACTGCATCCTTAGCAGCGGTCTCCACTGAGATGGCTATCTCCAGAGCGCGCGCAAGCGTCAGATCCTTCTCCGTAAGGAGCCGCTTCTGTGTGCCCTTGTGCACGAGACCACCCACCAAACGATCACGCAGCGCGTCTGACAGTCCCTCCTTGAACTCGCAATGCTCTGATAGCCTGCGTAATTCAGCCATGTAGTCCGTGACTGACTCATTTTTCTTTTGATTTCTATTGTGAAATCTAAATCTTTCTGCAATGATCAGCGGTTTGGGGTTTAAATGCTCTTGCAGCACTTTCACAATTTCTTCGTATGATTTACTTGCTGGCTTATTTGGTGACATCAAATTCCGAAGTAAATTGTGGGTCTTTGGACCCATTACGCTGAGAAGCACGGCCACTTTCCGATCATTTTCGATTTTATTAGCCACAATGTACTGTTCCACTAACACAACACAACAAGTGTTTAATGTCCTCCACCCACTAAACTACAACAAAACTGCCAAAAATTATCCTGTGTAAACAGACAAACCATAATGGATTTGTTTTCCACTCTATACTTGAAATCCTAGTACTACTATAATGCCACTCCTACTATTTCATTTGCTGTTGATGCATCTGTACAGAATTAACTGATGATAACTCTCTATATAATCTTTAATAAAGAAGTTTGTTGATGTTTTTTTTGCCTTTTGGTGAATGGAGGATCGAATAGAATAAAAGTATTGCTTAAGTTCAAATAAGTAAACATTAAAGTGTGGCTTTTTATTTTACATTTGTATGGAAGCCCGTTTCCGCCGCATTAAAGTAAAGAAATACCAAATAGAAATTCTTAAGTATGAGATTTAAACTCATATTTATGAGATTCAAAGTCATCATTTCGACTTTGAACGTCATAATTATGAGATAGCAAATTTGAAAGTCGAATATCATGATTTTGACTTTGTAACACATAATTATGACTTTAAATGTCGAAATGATGACTTTGTAACTTCAAATAATAACTTTAAATCTCATAATTAAGACTTTCTATTTTCCATTTTTTACTTCCATGTGGCGGAAATGGGCTTCCATACTTATCAATCTCTTAAGTGCCTCTTATCAAAATTTCCCTTGCATAAATTCAAATGTATGGAAGCCTGTGTCGAATCCTGTTTACTCCACATGAAAGTAAAACATGCCAAATGCTGAATATCATAATTGTGACTTTATATCTCATAATCATGACTTTGAAAGTCAAAATTATGTCTTTGTATCTCATAAATATGACTTTCTATCAGGCATTTTTACTGTCATGTGGCGGAAACGGGATTCCATACCTTACATTTGAATTTATGCAACAAAACTTTTTGATAAGATAGTTAAGAGATTTAAAGTATGGAACCCTGTTTCTGCGACATGAAAGTAAAAAATGCCAAGTAGAGAGTCATCATTATGAGATCTTAAGTCATAATTTTGAGTTACAAAGTCATAATTACGTCTTTGAAAGTCATAATTAGTGTTGCCCTGATGCCATTTTTTGGCCCTGATACCGATACCTGGCTGTGCAGTATCGGCCGATACCGATACCATCTGTTTGAAATTGATGCGTGTGTGTATATATGAAGAACTGCATACTACTTGGATGTAAAATAATTGCCATCATGGCTTCGTCAAGCTGCTGCCTACCTTTGTGAAGCAGGAAAAAGACTAATACAAAGTGAATCCGGTAGAACTTTTTATTGCCTACCTGGCATAGGTGACAATAGTTGAATAAACTTTTGGCTCTCAAAATGGTATCGGTGCCCTATTTGTTGTTACTTTCCGATAACGATACCACCATTTTAGTGCTGGATCGGGCCCCGCTCGATACTGGTATTGGTATCGGTGCAACACTTGTCATAATTATAACATTCGATTATAATATTTGATTTTCAATTTTTTTTTAAATCTCATAATTATGACTTTGTATCTCATGATTATGACTTTCTATTAGGCATTTATTTACTTTCATGTAGTAGAAATGGGCTTCCATAGAAAAGATGCATTTCAGGTTACATTTCACTTTGCAGAGGAAAACCAAATTGAATGTTTCCGCATAGAAGTTGAACATATTTTAAAATATTTGAATCCACGTAGTTATTCGTAGAAATTCATATCTACAGGTAAATTTTCAGTTTAACGTAATTTTTGTTTTTCCTTACGCTGCCTTTCCCGTTGGTGACGTAATGACGCTGGGCTGCAGGTTTACGTGCTTTGCTCGTTTACGGTAGTGGTAGAAAGCTTCGAAGGGCGAGCTTTTAAACAGCCTAGCTGGTTTGGAAAGTTTAAAGACTTGTTAAAAACCAAGCAGCTAAGTTATCTGTCTGCAGATCTAGGGTTTTACCATCACACCGACTAGCTGGGACAGTGGAGTTTAGCTGCTTTGCCAGCTAGTAGCCATATATATTTTTTTATTTCCTGGAGCAGAGACGGAGTATTTATCTTCTCCAGGTTAGTGTGACCCTTAGACGTGAAAATTGTTTGCGTTTGTGTGTCTTTTAACTTATTGCTGTATATAACGGCTCTGTTTTCCTGCTCCACCGGTCTGCCGTAGTTAGCCCCAGAGCTAGCCAGGCTGCTAGCCTGGTTTCCACCAGTCGCTGCTAACCAACTTGACCTGTTTAAGAAGTTGTTTGCTAACCGTGTCTGTGACCAGCTGCTGAGTGTTTCATTCTTTAGTTGTAAGATGGGGACTTTGTCTGTTAACCTTGTGAATCTGGACAGCAGTCAGATTCACAGACTAGTCTGACTTGAGGTTGGAGGTGATGAGGAGGCCCGAACAGTCCAGTTGTTTCCTCCTTACTGCAAACGCAGCAGTTGTCAATCAGAGGATCTCATGTTCTGAGTCCACAAACCAGGACTGCTAACCAGCTTTTCTAACGCAGGCTAGAATCGGACTTTAGTTACTGGGAATTTCTGTGGTTTATATCAACATGGTGACAGAAATAAAGTATTTAAAACACTCTGGATCTCCCCAAACCCCCATTTGCATCTCTAGAAAAAAATGAAGCTAATTTAAAAATAATCAGAGGTGTCAAGGTACTATCAATATTTATTACTCAACTAGAAATAGAAATCCTACTGTTGAAAAACACTTTTTTAGAAGTTAGAGGATCAACTTAAGGTTTTTACTTCAGTAAAAGTGTAAAAGTTGCATTTTTAAAACTAAAAGTATAAAAGTAGTGCATGAAAAATGTTAAATACAGAAGCTTTACTGCACTATCCTATTAAAGGAACATTTTCCTACTGGATGATAAATTCCTTAGACCTAATTTTCTGAGTTTTATAACTAATGGCGTCAAATTTTACTTTACATCATCTTGAAAAACTGTTTATTTTGCTATGTGGTGAGCAACAAGTTGGGGCAGCACCGAGTCCAACCACAAAGAAATTACTTGTCTGGATGAATTTTGAAGGTTTTTATTTTTTAAAAATACCAACAGACAATAATGAAAATGAGCTTAAATGGAACAAAACTGAGTGTATTTTTAAAATGTTGAAGGAAAAAGTTTGTCTAATGCTACGTTCAGACTGCAGGCAGCAGAAGCAGCTGGCTTACATACACAGTTAATGGTTGACATGCATCAAGGTGCAGGAAATTGTCCTGCAGCACTTTTTTCAGCAGCAGAAGCAGCGCGTCATGAGCTCCTGAAGCTCGGGACGCGATACGAGACCAGCAGCTGCTGGAGTTGCAAAGATGGAACTTTAGCTGCTGGATGTGCCACATCAACCAATGAGAGAAGCGGATCTGGGAGCTGGCAGGGAGTCAGACACAGCACTGCTGATACAGAGTGCTACGATCACTCCTCTGAAACAGTTTATTAACGCCGAAATTTACTTAAAATGTAGAAACCTGCCGGCAGAATATGTTTGCTTTTATTATCCTGGTGCCTGCAGTTTGTAGCACATACTTAGAAAAACGCTAACATCTACTTCCAGCTGCTACGAATATTAGCAGAAACCCGCATGGAGGTGAGCGGGCCTGAGGCAGCTGCTGCTGGGGATTCCCAGTGACGGCGCTCCGCCGGTATGTAGGGGTCTGAGTGGCTCCCAAAGAGAAATAATCTTTGAAGGCAGGATGGTAATCTGGATGAACTGACTGCACAGACCATGTTTTCAGGAGGACTTTCTCACTTCAAAATGGATTCAAACTACTTTTTACCCACTGATCATAGCAAATACAGCAAATCCGCTCTCTGGCATTGAACACAGGAGCAGCAGAAGTATCAGACGCAACTGGCGTCTGACCTTAATGTGGACAAGCAGCAGAAATGAAGCAGTAGAAGCTTTTTGCTGTTTTCAGTGCTTGCGGTTTGAACGTAGCATATAAAACAATTACTCCAGTAAAGTATAGATAGTCAACATTTCTTAAGTAAGGTAACAAAGTAGGTAAGTATTTGTACTTTGTTTCTTGACACCTCTGACAATAATCACCTAATGGATGACATAGTTGGGGATTTCATGTATAATTTGAATTATCAGGTTAAAGGTTTTTAAGGAGAAGGAGAAGTTTTTTTTCCTGTGCTAGATATTTAAATGCCACCAGGCGAGAACAGGCATGGGCTAGTATGAAGGTCTTTAAGGATATTAAGTTACTTTTAAAAGATAATATAGTGCTTAGACGTAAATGGATCATTCTCTTTTAGGCTCAGAAATAATTAGCCATTGTGTCTAGTGGAAAATTTATTCAGCCATGTTTGATTAGAGCTTTTCTTTAATTTCTGCTGATCCATCAGCAGTGTGCTGCTGGGTGGATGGAGGCGGCAGCACATAAAGGCACCGAGCCAGCCTGCTCCCTCCTCAGTGCATTCTGAGGTGCATCTAATGCTACAGGCGACTTCGCCCTGCCTCTCACTGACCAGCAGGGATCTCTGGAAGCCAGAGGCAGATCATGTCGGGGAAATAACACGGATCCATATTCCCTCATCATGTACGCAGGGGAACCGGCCCAGTTTAACTCCAGGCACTCCATCCCAAAGTTTAATACCAAGTTTGAATGTTTTTAATAAACTAGTAGCTTAAAGGAGAATTCCAGTCATATTCAGAATTCAAACTTCTGAAAGTGCTTTAAACATGAAATCATTCCATCCTGTTCAATAAATGATAAAGGTTTTTAATTCAGAGTAATTTTCATTTGAATGTCCTTCACTGGAGGCATCCATGTTTGTCAAAGAACACTACTGCCACCTACTGGTTTGTGACGTCACGGTGCGGTATCGGCTGTTGATCAAGTTTGTCACAACGCGCTATTATCCAAGTCATCTTGAAATGTTTGCTATATATTACGTGTTTTATCTCTGGCCAGAAGTTTGATGGCAAATCCTCCCTCTTCAAGTTGGCAATCCAACGACGAACCCGTCTGTGGAGGATCAGGAATCAGAAAGGTGAAATAACTTTTTTTTTTTTTTCTCACTTTTACCCGATGTATCCCAACATCCAGCTGCCATGCACGTGGGCATTGTCAGTTTCACTATAGCTCTGGTGAATTTCAATGGTGAAGTCCTCTGGAAATCTTCAATAATTGTTGTTGATGGCAGGTGTGTCTAGTAGTTCCCATTGATTTTGCTTGTAAAGCGGGGAGAATGGCGCTAGGCTTACCGCACCGTGACGTCACTGCTGGAAGATGGCAGGAGGGAGGGGTAACTATATTTGGGTAAAAATGGCCGCTCCCAGACTATGTGATCACGACAAATTATTATTTGTATTTTTTTACTGACTAACACTAAATTCATTAAATCTCCACGAACGTATTAGTTTAAGGTATAAATAATGATCCATTGATTATTCCTTGCTGACTGCACTTCTCCTTTAATTGATGAATCGTTAAATGGAGTGTAGAAACTCTTAAGACATGCCTTTAGCTGAGAGATCGACCCTCTTAGAGCAGGAATTATACCAAACTTGGAAAAAGAAAATGCATAAATATTTTGAATTTAAGATTAAAAGAAATGTCTGTTTGAATCTTAAGTGGAAAAGTTTTAGTTTCACCTGTTTTGATTCTGTAAAAAATCTCCTTTAAGAAACCTTTTGATATCTGATAATTAATCGAAAAAATTATCGACAGATTAATCGACTTGTAAAATAATCGTAAGTTGCAGCCCGAGCTGGTTAGCATTCAATCTAGCCCTATTAATGCTAATAAACCCCATTTAAACACAAACCTCTAAGAATTATTCAGCTGCACGGCCGACCTCGCTTAGTTTAACCATAAGAGGTCAGAAGGGTTAGATCCTTTTCTCTGCCTACATCTCCCGTAATACCAACTGTTTTCTGATCACAGTACAATGAAATTATTGAATTAATCTAAAATATTTTCTATTCTTCCATCACGTAGCTATCGCGATAAATACTGATATTGATATACTGTCCAGCCAACCCTGCAGTGAAACATTCCCATGGTTGTGGTTAATCCAAAGGAAAATCCAAATATTGGCTTTTCGAAAAAAAAAAAAGCACAACCATAATTGTAATATCATATTGACTAAAGGAAACATTTTTCTTTTTAATCACTGCTAATAAAAACAATGTCTATGTTAGCACAACCTAAACGACCACATCTGGCACTTTTCAAAAACCTACACTTTTATTCCCACTTTCTACATCTGGCCGACCTTTATTTTATTTGTGATCTTTATCAATATATTTACTTGGATCTGCATGGTTGCACTGGGACTTGATCAACAGCCGACACCGCACCGTGACGTCACAAACCGGTAGGTGTCAGTAGTGTTCTTTGACAAACATGGATGCCTCCAGTAAAGCACATTCAAATGAAAATTACTCTGAATTAAAAACACTGATCATTTATTAAACAAAATGGAATCATTTCAGATTTAAAGAACTTTCAGAAGTTTGAATTCTGAACATGGCTGGACTTCTCCTTTAATTGTTCCACCCCTATAACCAGCCCTTAATTACATGTAATATCATCTGTAGTTTGATGCTAACTGGAAGAGGAAGGTTTAGTGCAGCGTTTAACAAAGTGCTACATCGACTCTATATTGCTTTGAAAACAATAAAGTTGTATATCAGTGGGACACTAATCTACAGAGCAAAATAGCAGCTTTGAGTGACCCATACTAAGCTGATATATCAGCATGAATCATACGGTACACACTTTTATCAGTTATGTTGTAGTGTGGTGTATTACTGAAGCGTTTATCAAGTGATATTATTCAGAGACCAGTAGTTCATATCAGTAGGTACAGTAGCAGCCATTCAAAATGGCCCTTCCCTGTCAAGGGCCAGCCCAGTGGCAGCAAAATCCCCTCCAACTTCCAGCCACTGGTCTTCTCCTGGGCGTGCATATTTTTTACTCTGACTCCACCCTTTCACTGAATTACAGGGTCTGACCAGGAGACGATGCTTCTCTTTAGATCTTAATGTCCACAAATCATGACAGAATATTTTAGTTGTTTAAAAGGGAATTGTAGGGGAACAGCCAAGGGCCCATCAAGGGAAGTGGGGAATTTTTTTATGGCTACTACTGTATGAGACCCACTGAGCCACTGCTATTAGGGGTGCACCGATTGCAGTTTTCCGGCCGATTTCCAATCACCGATCTTTAAAAAGTCTGACCTGCCGATTCCGATTTTTGGTTAATACTGATTTTATCATTTTTTTTTTTGCTATAAACACTGTGTTACAAGATCGCAATTCACTGTCAATGTTACAATCTTTTCTTGGAAAACATGCCCTTGAACAATAGCCTTGAACCATTATAAACTTGTTTTAACTGCCCATGAGGTAGAGCCTTGACATAGAAATGAATTAAATAATAAATATGAAATAAAACAAACTTAAGACTACAACATTGGTCTTTTGATTTTTTTACATTTCAAAAAACAAAACTTCAACAAAAGATTAGAAAAAATATGGAATGGCAACTGATTTTAAGACACTCGCGGAGGTAAATAGATTGGTGGTTAAGATCGGTTTCATATGTAAATATCGGCCGATCACCAATCACCCTAAATTAAGGAAATCGGGGCCGATCGGCCGGCCGATTTATCGGTGCACCCCTAACTGTTATCCACTAGTGGGCTGCAGAAGCTGATCGCTTCTCAGCTGGCCTGTCAGAGATTATAATCCCTATGCATGTTTATATATATTATATATATGTTTATTCCTCCCCCAGACGTGTTCTTTTATCTCATTTTTTGTTGTTTTTTTTTTTCACCAACAGCTTCAAGGTAAAACCTGGGTGATATCAAAGGTGACAAGAACATTGAGGCAAATCCTTTCTAAGTCTGTCCACACGTTCATAGTTTAATCCCTCATTAATCAGACTTGTACATTAATGCAGGGATCATCTTCCAGTATCTCGTGTAGTTTGAACTCCAGAACATGATTTTTTTAAATGACGTGTTTTATTGATCCTGGCTGTTTGTCCTGTAAGGCGCTCCGAGGCATCTGCTGAACCGATCAGGGCAAACAGCAGCTACAATCACTTTAATACATCAGAACAGATGAAATATACATCAGGTGTGTGAATCGAGATGTTTTGTCGGCTGTTTGTTTAAAAATCTTTCAAATTGAAATAGTTTTCAAGTAATTCAAAGCAGATATTCTTTTTCAGTCAACCAAACTACCTTTTCTGAGTTGTGGCCTTTTTTTAAACAACTGGTGTATTGAAGTTAGATTCAAGTCTTCATAGTTCTGCAGAGTTACTGCTTTTATAAAGCTGTTGGCTTCTAAAATAGTTTCCAGAAATGAACCGTGGGTCATGTGGTGTTCTGAGTGAGAGGACATAACATCAATCTGAGGGCGTATTTGACCTGATTTGACCCGATCACGCTGCAGTAGAGCAGCATCAGTCAGACGGATTCACACACTAAAGGTTTTGTCCTCTAAGCTTGAACAATAATCTAGTTTTTTTTCCCCCCAGTCAGCAACCATCTGAAAAAGGACCTGAATATCTGCATTCTCTAAAGGCTCTCAGAGGTGTGAGGACAGCAGCCATAACCCTCCTGATCTGATCTCTATCCACCTGTAGACAACAGTCAAAAGTGGAAAATTCCATATTGAAACACAAAAGGACGTAAACAAGGATTGCGAAAGCATCAAACCTGATTGGCCATTGTTTCTCCCTGTTATCTAACACAGGAATGCTTTATCATGTTCTGATCATTACAAAGCAGATCATTACAACCACAGACCCTGAACACATCTGATAGGTATGAAACTTTCTGCAGAACGTTTCTGATGGGATCCAAATGGAGCACCACAGCCGTAGGAACGGCTGAATGGGCGAACAGGCAGGAGGTCTCTCATGTGGCACGAAGCACGGTGTGGGCGTCAGGGGAACACCAGCTCTGCGCCTCAAAATGTGATAACCAACTGATGTCAGACCTAAAATGGTTCCGCCGGAGGAGCGGTCCAAAAACGTTCTAAAGTTTGTTCCAGTTGAAGGCAAAGAGACGGGAATGACCAGTGATATAAGAGGAGTAAAGCTGCAGCGGGAGGGAAGCTGCTCTCTAACATTATCTCTGCACGTCAGGATGAATCGCCTTTAATCATCTAACCCTTTGATCTGCATTACTAAGGTTTGTTCTGTGTATTTGTTGTTGTTTTTCTGCAGGCTTTATGCAGAGGAAGCTTTTCCACTTCAGTCTGCTTTCCTAAAGTTTAGAGTTGAGAGGCAGCATACCGATTAGAGAAGCTTACTGGTAACCCTGGATCACGGCTCTGAGACCGCCGCCGCTCAATATGTGCTGTCAAGGTAATTATGCTGCATTAATAATCACTATATCAATAATTATTAGTATTCTTTGTAGCTTTGTCATGATGGTGTTATTGTAGATGAGCCATTAGCTTTACTCAGTTTTCTACAGGGTTCCTGCAGATCCTTAAGTCTTCAAATCAGTCTTTCATAGTTCTTAAAATTGCTTCCATGTCATAAATAGGATTTTATTTTTGTAAACCATATCCAACATTAAAATAATAATTAAAAATTTACCCAGCTGGAACTGTTATTGGTTCCGTCCCGATAGAGCAGGGATGTCAAAGTCAAAAACACTGAGGGCCAAAAAAACACATTTGCTTCTAGCCGAGGGCTGGACGGGTTAAATGTTTATTAAAACATATTGAAATGAACAAAGCCTATTGAGCCAAGACTTAAAAATATTAATATCAATATTATGAAACTTTTATATTAATAAACAAAAGATAAATACATAAATGAAAGTGCATGCATATTTAATCCCGAAAATGCATTACTGTGCTGCTCTATGATCCTACCGATCACTGCTTTTAAATAGTAAAATAAGTAAAAAAAAATCAAATCAGTTGTATTCTCTCTCATGGCTCTTATCTGCATTTGTCCCTGACTGTATTCAACTGAAAAATATGAATAAATAAAATAAAATACAAAAATCTAAGTCACACAGACAAAACAATACTTGAATCCCAGCAGCAGACCCAGAGTTCAGCCAGAGAAATATAAGGAATAAAAAGAAATAATAAAAGGAATTCATTAAACAAAAAGCAGAGCAATACCAAAAAGGACAGAAGAATCAAAAAGACCACAGACTACAGGTGTCAGCAGAGGCTGATTGAACCCAAAATAAAAGGAGCCTGGATGGAAGGAGAGGTGATGGAGACGGACACACTGCTGAGCGAGGGCCAGAGGTCCGTCTTTAAGTAGAGCTCCGTCTCCATCAGAGTAAGGGTGTGCAAAATAATCGTCATGACGATGCATCGCGATTCTAATTTTTTTTCTACTGCATCGATTCTTGAAGGCAAGAATTGATTATAAAAAAAAAAAAAAAAAAAAAAAAAAAAAAGAACAAATAAAATACATGAATGGTTGGCGCACATCAGCCAAACCAAGTGGAATACAACTTCCAGTCCAGCAGATGTCGCTGCGGATGTGTTGACGCCCGCTGCCTTGTGCCCCCCGGCTCAATCACATTTCAAGTCAGATGCTAGGATGCATTTTGGCTTTAAAAACAAAGAAGGTAAAAACAAAATTGATATGACGCACGTAATTTGCAAAAGGGGAAATGTCATCCATTTGAATGTTTTCGTTTCATTGGTTTAAAGGACCACTGAGGCCATGTAAACGGCACTGATTATCCTTATTTTGTTAGTTTAAGTTTGATGAATCCTAGGATCTTTTTGTCAGTGTGTCCACACCAGTAATAGTAACATTTGTGTCCAGCATTTGTTTTCATGGCAACACCTCCAAAAGTCGTTTCAATAAATACAGCTATGTATGAATTCAGTTGCATTCAGTTATGTATCAATTGAAGACACTATCCAGATCATACCCAGCCAGTCAGCCACTGGTAATGGCTGTATCTTTTTCTTACAGTGTTCAGTGAAAATATCGCAACACATCGCAATATTTCAAGTATCATGGTGCATCGTGATAGAATCGCATCGTGGCATGTGATTCGAGTCGAATCGTGACTTCTTTGCCAATACCCACCCCTACATCAGAGTATCGTTAGGAAATGCGTGTTCCGATGGAGTCTTGGTGCGGGGATAGTGGCGTTTTCCTGCATCTTTCTTTTAGCTAGATCGGTCTGACGGATCGCCTCCAGAAGAAGCGTAATTAGTGGAGCCCAACCCCTGGCCTCTAATTGGTGACTTTTAAGGACAATTATTAAATCTTGGACCTTTAAAAAAGGGAAAGGGAGTGTTATACCGTGCCACTATTACGGCGGCTTTTGTTGAATTAGAATATCTTGGACTTGATTTTTTTTTTTTTTTTTTTTTTTGCTGTTTGGGTTGAGTTGCTTGCTTGACCTCGTCAAAGACTGAGTGTGGGGCCATTTTAGTCAACCAGCTTCAGCCCAGTGTGCTTGGATTGTTTAAGGAGGGAAAAACAAAAACCAAAACAATCCAAACATGCAAAGTGCAATAAGTCAGACCTCTGCCCTGTCTGTGCCTGACATGCGGATCCCACCTGCGCCTCCCTCCATCCAGGCTCCTTTTATATTGGCTTCAATCAGCCTCTGCTGACGCCTGCGCGCAGTAGTTGCGGAGTGCAGTTGGTGCACACCGTCCCCTTGGACAACCGACTTCGTCCAAGCTTGGATTGTTAAGAGGAAGCAAAAACCAAAACAATCCAAACATGCAAAGCACAACTTAAAAATTTAAATAACGCTACATTCCCCACAATGCAACAGTAGTCTGCAAAGTCACAGCAGCGCGCACAAGCAGCCGTGGCCTGTGGGCCGGTTCTAATGCTAATTAAATATCATCCAGGGGGCCGTGGATAAACAATTCGTGTCTCGGGCCTTGATTTTGACATACACTATATTGCCAAAAGTATTTGCTCACCCATCCAAATTATTGGAATCAGGTGTTCCAATCACTTCCATGGCCACAGGTGTATAAATTCAAGCACCTAGGCATGCAGACTGTTTTTACAAACATTTGTGAAAGAATGGGTCGCTCTCAGGAGCTCAGTGAATTCCAGCGTGGAACTGTGATAGGATGCCACCTGTGCAACAAATCCAGTCATGAAATTTCCTCGCTCCTAAATATTCCACAGTCAACTGTCAGCTGTATTATAAGAAAATGGAAGTGTTTGGGAACGACAGCAACTCAGCCACGAAGTGGTAGGCCACGTAAACTGACGGAGCGGGGTCAGCGGATGCTGAAGCGCATAGTGCGAAGAGGTCGCCAACTTTCTGCAGAGTCAATCACTACAGACCTCCAAACTTCATGTGGCCTTCAGATTAGCTCAAGAACAGTGCGCAGAGAGCTTCATGGAATGGGTTTCCATGGTCGAGCAGCTGCATCCAAGCCATACATCACCAAGTGCAATGCAAAGCGTCGGATGCGGTGGTGTAAAGCACGCCGCCACTGGACTCTAGAGCAGTGGAGACGCGTTCTCTGGAGTGACGAATCGCGCTTCTCCATCTGGCAATCTGATGGACGGGTCTGGGTTTGGCGGTTGCCAGGAGAACGGTACTTGTCTGACTGCATTGTGCCAAGTGTAAAGTTTGGTGGAGGGGGGATTATGGTGTGGGGTTGTTTTTCAGGAGCTGGGCTTGGCCCCTTAGTTCCAGTGAAAGGAACTCTGAATGCTTCAGCATACCAAGACATTTTGGACAATTCCATGCTCCCAACTTTGTGGGAACAGTTTGGAGCTGGCCCCTTCCTCTTCCAACATGACTGTGCACCAGTGCACAAAGCAAGGTCCATAAAGACATGGATGACAGAGTCTGGTGTGGATGAACTTGACTGGCCTGCACAGAGTCCTGACCTCAACCCGATAGAACACCTTTGGGATGAATTAGAGCGGAGACTGAGAGCCAGGCCTTCTCGTCCAACATCAGTGTGCGACCTCACAAATGCGCTTCTGGAAGAATGGTCAAAAATTCCCATAAACACACTCCTAAACCTTGTGGACAGCCTTCCCAGAAGAGTTGAAGCTGTTCTAGCTGCAAAGGGTGGACCGACGTCATATTGAACCCTATGGATTAGGAACGGGATGTCACTTAAGCTCATATGTGAGTCAAGGCAGGTGAGCAAATACTTTTGGCAATATAGTGTATGTGAGATAGAAGAACCAATAAAAACGATGATGCATCCGGACCTTGGGGTGATGCGGCGCTAACTTTTCATCTGAAAAACATGGGGAAGTGTACATTCAACAAGCCGTTAACGATTAATAAATTAGTTGATGATTATTTCAATAATTGATTAATCCGTTTAATTGTTTTAGTCCTAGTCGGATCGACATCCGGATGTTTCCTGGCAAGCCTGCTGTTGGACAGATGAAGCCTGGGTAGCGCTTTAAACTGGAGCATGTCGAATAAAAACCAAAGTGAAATATGTTCTCTTTATTGCGCTTTGCCAGGAGCTGTCTGACATCATAAATCCCAAATCCTCTCTCTTGTACAACCAACAATGCTAGCTCCGTATCAACCATATGTCCACCGTCACTTTACCTGTTATTATTGCATATCTATTGTATACTTCACTCATATTCATTTAACTCTGCAATAATTTAATACAATCAATCATTTGCACAGAACTTTACTGTTGTCACTTTATACCAGTGTTTGTAACCTTAGCCTTAGTCATTTAACTGTTCACACCAAGTGTGATGGCCTTGTCTGTATATACTTAATGTATATTTTTTATATATTTTTAATATTTTGTACTCTTTCTTTTTTCCTACTGTACTGTTCACTGTGATGCAACGCTGCAATTTACCCACTGTGGGACAAATAAAGGATTATCTTATCTTATTCCCACTCTGCCGAGAGAGGAACAATTTAATGTGAGATTCGCCAACAGGTTTTCCCCAGTGTGTTTGTGTAATCAAAGGATTTTCTCGTCCCCGTAGGTCAGCCATGCATCTGAGGCCCTATCCGAAGCTCCTGCGCTCAGAGTTGCATTTGGATGCAGCTGCAGTTCAGACGTCCTCTCAGAGGAGCCAGCAGGAGGTGCTGAGGAAGAAGATGTCCAGTGAGCGGAGCAGCCGTTCGCCTTTACGTTTAATCTCCACCAACACCCTCTGCTGTGGCGCCCCCCCCTCACCGACCAGCAGGTACCACCCAACTCTGGGTCCGTGCCAGAACACGGCGGAGGATGGCGATACAACGCTGAACATGTGGACCGTCATCAAACCAGGACACGTGCGTGAGAAGATTGCCATCTTCGCTTCAGAGGGGAGGCTGACGGACGGGACTGAGGACGGCGCACGCGGCTCGGAGAGCTATTTGAGCCGCTGCAATGCAGCAGGGATGACGTGTGTGAGCAGCGGCGCTCTGTCGGGGCAGTTCCGTGCCGTGAAGGCAAAGGGAAGCTGGGAGGAGAACAGCTCTGCCAAGAGGCGCCGCAGGTCCCTCAACAACCAGAAGCATCAGCTGGACCAGAGCAGCCGTATCATGAGCGAACAGCTGTGTGACTTCAGAGCAAAGCCGAGGGGTTCAAAGTCAGCCGGCGGGCCGTGTGGGGAAGCGCCGCCGTCGGCAGAGCAGGAGCAGAAGGTTTCGGTTGTGGACATGGTGGCTTTCCTGGAGCACAGAGCGAGCGAGCTTCAGCCGAACCTCAAACCTCTGCTGAATATCCAGAGGAGCTGCACCACCATCACCCTGTCCAAAACCATCCGGCCAGAGATCAGGGAGGGGGAGGAGCCAGAGATCGTCAGGGTCTCAGAAATGGTGGCCAAGCTGGAGTCGGAGTGTCTGAGGAGCTGCGAGACCAGTCTGTCCAGGAGCAACAGCCTAAAGAGGACAGTGGGCCGAGTCCTCCTCGCTGCAGGGCAGAAAAGCTTCAGCCCACAGCCAGAAACCTCCCCGGTAACAAAGGGTTCTTCATCACCATCACCATCATCACCACCTGAGCCTCTGAGCAGCAGCGAGAACCCTATTAGTTCATCACACACAGTCAGAGCGGAGCCCCCAGCCGCAGCGGCACCTTCAGGGGTCTCTGCACTGCATTCAGGTGATCCTACTGGGAAGGTTTCAGAAGAGACGGCAGCCACCCCCCCACCCCCTCAGTCTGAGGAGCAGGAGCCCCTGCCCGGCCTCCTGTTTCTCTCTCCTGATGAGACAGAGTCAAACCTCTGCGCTCCTCATCACAGGACAAGCTTCTACCTCCAGCCGACCCTTCCTCCTGCCTCTCCCGTCATCAGCCCCCTTCCCCAGTCGGAGAAGAACTCTCGCTCTGCCGCAGTGCCTCTTGGCAGGAGTCCCTCGGCGTCGCAGGACTTCCTAAAAGTGCGGCAGAGGCTGCAGCAGCTGCTGGCGCCTCAGTCGTACCTGCTGCTGCTCCCCCATCACCTGTTGGTGAACATGTTCCTGCTGCTGCCCACGCAGAGCCTCGCTGCACTCAAGTGCACCTGCAGCTACTTCAAGTTCATCATCGAGAACTACGGCGTGCGCCCCGCCGACTCGCTCTGGGTGTCCGACCCCCGCTACCGTGACGACCCCTGCAAACAGTGCAAAAAGCGTTACTGTCCAGGGGACGTGTCCCTGTGCCGCTGGCACCACAAGCCTTACTGCCAGGCTCTGCCCTACGGGCCAGGCTTCTGGATGTGTTGCCATGGTGCCCAGAGGGATGCACCTGGCTGCAACGTGGGTCTCCATGACAACCGCTGGGTGCCTGCATTTCACAGCATCAATGTGCCAATTTATAAGAGGAACTATAGCCATGAAAGCTGAATGATTGAGTGTTTGTGTGAAGCCTTAAGTCCTTCCGCTGTCATCAGCTGACGCCTTCAGTCTCTAACATTTTACTTTTTACTGAAATGATTTCCAGCACCAGATCTGTTCTGTCCCGAATAAAGCATGTTAAACCAAAATAGATCAGGCTGTTGCTCTGAGATGCAAACTTTGGTGCTGCAGCGGCCTGTCCAACTGCTTCTACCCGCTGTGTGCATTCAAGCGGATTCAGCTCGGTTCTGTTCATATTCGGCAGAACCGGGTCGTTATATCTTTTTTTCTGGACGTTGAGGGATGTGTTAAAGTCACTTATGTAAAAGCTTTTTTTTATTTAGGAGTAAAACTCGGGTCACCTGTTCATTTTTTTTGTTTGGGAATAAAAATTTCTTTTTTTTTTTTTTACACATTTTAACCAGAAAAATCCCAGGATTAAGATATCCAAGCAGCTGAGAACAGATTTGTGTTCTACATGTTTTGAGTTGCTGTATGAAATGTGGCGCCCCCTACCTCTCAGGTCGCCACCTTTCAGATTTCTTCTGTTTTTTTTTTGTTAATTGATCACTGATCAACAGATTGGACTTTTATCCAGAGGAGAGAGGATTCAGAGCCAGGACTCTTCTGTAAACCAGATTTCTGAGAACTGTTGCAAAAATGGAGCTTAGATCAATTGGCTAGCTGGGCTGGTAACAGCGGGGCAGGAAGTCAGAACATTCAACTTCTCAGCTGGTTTTAAATAACTGATGTGAGGAAATGATCTGTTCATACCATAGGAACAAATGGTATAAGCAAATCAACAGGAGAGCATGTAAAGCTTCCAAAGTAGAACGTGATCCCAAACACACCATGTTTGTTTTTGCATAGGATTTGTTTGAGTGCTTCCATTAGCTGACGGATAATCATTTTATCTCTTTGTAGGACGTGGAGAAATGTGGCCTTGGGTCTTTGAGACGATGCAATATGGAAAAAACTTGACAGTAAAGATTATTTTAAAAAGCTCTAAAAAAAAAAATAAAATAAAGCATAATAGAAGATGTGAACGTAAAGTTTGTTTGCTGGGTTATGTCTGCTGCCTCTGAAATTTTCTGCATAAATGTTTTGCTTAAATAAAATGTGTTCTGGTCTGTTTATGTTGAAAACATCTGGAGTCTTGATTTCCAGTCGGTGTTTATTTCATCTCTAAGTGACTGAAGACATGTTAGGACTACAAATCACTAATTTCCGTTTTAAATCATATCAGCCCACCATCACCAACCATATGAATAACAGTTTATAATACAAATGATATTCCTGCATTGAAAACTTGGTGGCGGATGTAGAATAAAAAAAATCCAAGTCATTACATCCTGGTTTGGTTTGGTTCGATTAAATCGACCAAGTTGAGACAAAGGTTTTGTGGGAGGTTCAGTTGGTGATGATGTTCTGTGGAGCAAAATGTCAAACGGGTGCCCCCACCCCCTTTCTATTTCATAAGAGCTGTTTTGTTATCTCTTAGAATAATTGCAGAGACTTTGTGAATATGTATATTTTCTTGGTCCTTGAAGGTTAAAGTGTGAATTTGTCCCCTAAAAGTGCAACATAGGGCACCACTGGTGAGGTGTTATTGCTCATCTAGGTAAACCTACAGGTTAGCCTTATGGCCCACACCTAGGGGGTCTGGAGGTAAAGCAAAACAGCTGATCCAAGTTCATAGTGCAGCAGGGGCGTTGCTAGGCACAAAGCTTTACTGGGGCACTGGCCCCCTACCGCATATGCCCCTCCTGCCATACACAAATACAGACAAGCACACTGCCTCACCCTGATACATTCCTACCAAATTACCAGTTGAAATATTGAGTGTAAGAGCTTAACATGAACATTTTCAACATTGCAGCTATAAAAAATAAGACAACAACTTTGACAAATAAAAAGTTTCCTTATACACATTCTGAAGTAATCATTAATTCCTAGGTTACAGAGTTTTAGTTCAGGGTAAATTTTAACTCAGCCTTACCTCCCTCTCTCTCATCTTGTTTTACTGCTTCCCTGTCTCTGCTTCGTGTGAGGAATTTCCTGATATCCATCTACAAACCAATGCAGTAACTTTCAGTTAGTAGCCTATAAATCATGTGGTTTCACTGGGAAAATAATAAAATTGACAGGTAAGAAACGTTACCAGAACTAAAAATGCTTCGCGGCCGCACAGTGTCCCATCAAACTCAGTTGTGCTGACATGGGGGCGCTAATACATCCTCAATTTGGAGTTAACAACACACTTGCTACACATTTGAGTAGAAATATACGACTCCTCCCGTTGGAATTATCTAAATTGATGCATTAAAAAAAATTTAATACTGTTGCAAATATTCATGAGATTTATACTGGGGCACGTGCCCCAGTAAATGGGCTGGAGAATAGGAATTTTAGAAAAATATTACTTGCATAACTTTTTTCCAGATTTAAAAGCACCTTAAATGGTTTTACCAAATAGTAAATACATTGCAGACCTATGCATGCTACAATTCAGCCCTTTACTGAGATCCAGATGGGCAAGTTAAAAGTTTGACACTCAACAGATTGCATCCAGGCACTGACTTGTATATTTACTCCTACTGGATGATAATGTGGTGACAACAGACAATCGCTTTCATTGTATTGTTGACCTTACAGAAAAATCTCGTACCAAGCATGCATGCAGCGTCGGTAAAGAGGAAAGATTAGAAGTAGAATACAGCAGAGTGTGGGGAAGTGGTGCCTATGTTCTCCAGCAGTCTAAGTCTATAGAAGCATAACTTTAGAAAAAGCTCAAGATAACTTGAGCCAATCTAGATATAAGCTTTATAAAATAAACCTGCATATTAAGAGCAAGTGCTCTCATAAAATGTTGCTTGATTAGGGCTTTATATGCAAAGGGAATTTAAAATTCTTCTGGTCAAAAAAAAACAATGAAGGATTTCAGTTTAATGTAAGATAAATATGATCGTAGTAATTTCATCCAGTGTCATAACTTTAGTGTTTTGGATCTGCTGAAAGCTTTTCACTGCATTTAGTGGCATTCCTGATGGTAAAGACGCCAGCCTACAAGTAACATATGCATGTAGTTTTTTCTGCTTCATTCATGACAGGATATATTTAGCTTTGGCAATATTCTAGAGATGAAGGAAAGTCCTAGAAACCTGTTTAATGTCCAATCTACGGTACGCATCCCTGAACCAGTGATGGATTAATCAGAGCTAAAACGGTAGTAATCAAAGGCAAGTCTTCCTTTAGTAATTTTGTTGGGATGAAGCTACCAAACAAGTTGAAGGTATAGATTAAGCTGAACTGGATGGAAACAGGACAAACACTGCTTAGGTTCTATATCACCATTTCTAAGTTCATCCTTCACATTTTCCATGGTTTTGTTTTTATTAGAACCAATTTCATATATAGGATATCACATAAAATCAACACTGCTGAGTACTGAGGGACTGGACTGCTCAACAGATTTAATTCAGGGTAAATTTGGCAATTGAACTAAATAGAAAATTCTTTAGTAAGCCTTCAGCTGATCCAAAATGCTGTAGCCAGAGTTCTGACAAAAATTAGAAACGGAGATCATATCTCTCCTATCCTAGCTTCTCTTCAGCTTCCTGTTAAATCCAGAATAGAATTTAATATCCTCTTTCCCACATATAAGGCCTTAAATTTCTTCCGGTTTAAAGGGAGTTTTTCCTCTCCACTTTCACTACAAGCATGCTTGGTGTGAGGGATTGCTTTCCAGTCAATGATTGATCGATTCATTCAGCAGGTTTTCGTTCAATAGAAAACTTTTCATAAGCTTGACCGTGACCTGGTTGAATTGCCTCTGTAAAGTTGTGAATTGGCGCTACTCTGCAAAAAATGTAAATCTAAATAAGTCATTTTTTCTTAAATAACTGCATTTTTTCTTGAGTTGAGGAGGTGAGACACTTTGCCAATAGAACAAGACAATTTAAATAAGAAAAAAACATCAAATTTTCTTATTTCAAGTGTAAAAAATACTCATTCCATTGGCAAGCTATTTTATTTACCTGCTCAAAATAAGGGTAAATACACTTGATTTAAGAATTTTTCAAACTTATTTTAAAATCGTTTTTGCAGTGTATATAAATACACTCAATTGAATCAAACCAATGAATTAGCCTCCCAGTAATTGCCTCCTTTTTGAGGGGATTATATTGGGTGTTGATTAGTAACATGCAACGAGGAAGTAATATCAAAAGGAGAGAAATTTGCTGCTCTGTTATAGAGGGGTAATTAAAAATCAAAGATTCTTTGAAGGTTGTTAACGCTCCATTTTTATTGAATGTTATATTGGTTGAGAACTCAAATTAATCTAAAATGTCAAAATGATTAAAGATGGAACTATGAGAACATACTGTTATTTCTCCACAATTGTCCTCATATGTACGGAGCCCCTCTGATGACATGGACAAAAAATTTTTTAATTGTGGCCACGAAGTAGTATTTCGTGCGCACGAAGTAGTACTTTGCGGCCACGCAATAAGTATAACGTGCGCACAAAATACTACTTTGTGGCCACGCAATAAGTTTAACGTTCGCACGAAATACTTATTAATAATATCAATAAATCCGCCCCTGTTTTCAGGCTTATGTTAACTGTAATGACTTATCTTGGACAGGCTGCTACTGTATGTAAACGGGCACGTGACATTTGTTGCTAAGACGCCATTTGAGGTGGAAAAGGCGTAGGGTAAACAACCGCAGCATAGCTAAACGAAGGACTAAAAAAAAGTGCTTCCCTTAGTTTCATATTTTCCATTTGTTTTTTTTCTTTGATGAATTAGGATGGAGATTTTTTGATGTCCTGATCAGAACCTTACTTCCTATTTCCCCATCTATACGGTCGACTATAGCTGAAATTATAAGATATTACGGTTATTTTCATTTTCATAAAAACTACTAAAATATAGAAAAATGTAGCCTGTCAAAGCATACTGCAATACAGTTGAATTAAATGAACTTTATTGATCTCACACTAGAGAAATTCCCTCTCTGCATTCAACCCATCTCCCTTGGGGAGCAGTGGGCTGCCATTGTGCGGTGCCCAGGGAGCAGTGTGGGGTTAAGGGTCTTGCTCAGAGTGCAGGCTGTGGGGATGGGGTACTTGCACTGCAAAAATGATCTAGAATTAAGTAAAAAATTCTTAAATTTAGTGTATTTACCATTTAATTTAAGTGGGTAAATACGATAATTTGCCAATGAAATTAGTATCTCTACTCTTAAAATAAGATATTTAGATAATATGAACTTGAAATAAGACAATGCAATTGTTTTTTCTTCTTTTAAATGTAAATTGTCTTGTTCCATTGGCAAAGCGTCTCACTTTCGTCCTCAATTGGAGAAAAAATGCACTTATTTTAAGTAAAAATTACTTAATTAGATTTCCATTTTTTGCAGTGTGCAACCTTCTCAGAGCACAAGGGCACTGCTTTGACCCACTAGGCCAACACTCCCCAGTTAACAGTGTAAAAAAAATTAATAAAGCAATACTTTACACTGCATTTTACATCTTTTTGGAAGAACTTCTGAATGTTGATATCCCAGCTCAGTCCTTGGATTTAAACGTAAATGTATTCATTGGAAAACATTTGAGGTTAGCCTGCGGTTTAACATGGATCAGGAAATGGTCTCTAAAGGAAGAAGAAAGCAGGTTGAAGAGGTGACAAAGCTCAGGTTTTACAGCCAAGAGGACACATTTCATTATAAAAAAACAGCAGATGATTTTATTAGACACTAAAGTGAATACGTTGGCAGTCTTAGAAAGCAGAGCAGTGACTGAGCTGAGTTTTTTTCATCACATCAGATAAAACTTAACCAGGACAGGTTCACAAGCAATCGCCCAGCTCCTTTTTTAAAGTGCATTTTGTGGGCTTTCAGGAGCTGGTTGCTTCTCGTCGTTTCCTTGGACATCATTAGGCTGCTGCCATGTCATGAGGACCCGTCGTGTTTTCGGAGAGCGATTCCAGAAGCTGGAAGTAGTTGTACTTGATGTCGTATTCCATATCATACCAAAAATTTACTGCAGAAGAAATCAGAGGGAGAAAAAAGTACAAATCAAATAGAATTAAAGCATTGAGTTCATTATTTCTACAGGGTTCCTACAGCAAAAGGCAAGTTAAATTCAAGACTTTTTACGACTTTTTAATGCCACTTGAAATAAAGATTTAAGACCAAATTCACAAGAAACACAAGAAAAACCTGCTTGGACAACTTAACCCAAAGGTTTATTTTAACATAAACCACTGCACTAATGTTTTGAATTTTGAAAAGCTTCCCATACAGGAAGAAAGCTAAAAACACACAAATGATAGATATATTTTAACAATTATTTAACTAACTTTGTTTTAGCAGGGAACAAAACAAATCAGTTTTAAAGCCCCAACATAACCAGTGCTAAGTCTTTTTTGCAGCTATTTTTCTTCGTATCGTTTTCTTAGTATGTTTGATTTGGTGATAAGTGGAGGCGTTGCAGAGACAAGGGTGGAACTAAACTGAGAAATACCGTCTGTTTCTCAGTAACTCTATTTTGACGCTTTGTGTTTTGTGCTTCGCATGTGCGACTCCACTGCCTTAATTCCCATCGTTCTGAGCTTGAATGACTTCTTGCACAAAATACACTGAGCCTCATGTATGTTCCCTGGTTTTAGCCAAGGAGAAAACTCTTGGCTGGAGACAATTTTCGTTACATTTACACTTGCTCTTATTTTCCAGACAAAAAGTAAATGGTGCATCTCCCAAATGTCCCGGCCGCAACAACGCTTTTATTGGTTCCTCTATCGGGACGGAACCAATAATGGCGAGCCGTTATTTTTTTTTTTAAATAATAAAATTTTTTTTCAATTTTAATGTTTTATTTAGATTACAAAATAAATCGTAACAAAAATAATCCTATTTATGATGTTTTAAAAATTAATACCTACGAAAGACTGATTTAAGACATTTTAATACCAATTAAGGCCTTAGTTTTATTTTAAAGAATTCAATGCCTTTTAAGACTTTTTTAGGACCCGCGGGAACCCTGATCTAATCCAGGAGAGTTGTCAGAAAATATTTTTCTGCTGTCTGCATCTGCTCTGAGTGGGAATGTGGTGGATGAAATAGAATAAATAAATTTGGATAAATCCAGAAAGGCGAGGGGTAGCTTCTGGATGGGTATTAAGTTTAAACATGTTTCCCTACCAACCGTTTTCAATATGAAAGCTTCCTGTTCTTCTTTACGTCTGGCCCCTGGACATCATGCTCCAATTGTGAAGCAGCCATACATTTCAATACCCAAACTGGGCGATTGTCCAATCAGCAAGGAAATCCAAAAGACTATAACGGTGAGAAGATTAAAAGCAAAAACATCTCCATCCCATATGTTGCTGGAGTCTCTGAAAAACTCAAGAGGATTTTCTCCAAACACTAAATCCCAGAACATTTCAAACCAAACAGACCCTTAAACAGAAACTAGTTCAGCCTAAAGACCAACACAGAAGAGCGCCCTCCTCTGGAGAAGACTCTGCGGTACATCTACACCTTATGGAAAAATTATATAATTATTTTTTCATATTTTGGACAGAGAGGATAGGTGGTTTGAGAGGGGCGTGAAGGAAGTGGTGGATTCAGATTTCAGCTTTCAAAAACCTACAATGCAGCAAATGAGTTGATCCCTTCCCGCTATCATTGCAACCCCAAACCCTTTACAGGAGACCAGAACACCTCGCCTGTTTAGCCAGGCCAACAATTCCGTTTAATGACCCCCCCCCTTTCAGAGACATAGACAGGTTTCGGGTATTGCAGGCTAACAAAGACAAAAAAAATGACTAATTCCCAAGGGGTGGACCCGTTCGTGCGGTTCAATTTGCATGTTCTCTAAGCCAAAACTCTATTTTTGACATTTTGAATTGAAAAAGATTCCTGGATAGGAAGAAACATGTCTTCAAACTTGGAAACAAAGTTCAGGGGATTGTTTTTTAACTTTTTTGGAATGACTTTGACCCTGGATAACTGAGAATCTTCCCCAGCATATGAGCCATACATTTCTGCCCCGAACCCCTGCAGGCTGAATGACCGATCCTTTTCACAGCACCGTTACTGTCGTGACCTTTGCTGAATGCCGTGTTGTCTTAAAGGAGAAATGTCCGTACCTGCGATGCAGCCCTGGGACTGCTGGACATGGTGGAACCACAAAGACGGCAGGTACAGCATCTCTCCAGCTTTCACTGAGCACACGAGCGGCCGGGCCAGCCTGTACTGTGGGAAGCGCTCCAGGTCCGGTTCCAGAGGGTCCAGAGGGATCCAGGGAATCTGAAGGGCCAAAGGGGAGAGATGTCAGGCGGACCTCCGGGGCTTCCAGGAGAGATCAGAAGACGAGCTCCTAAAACCAACCTTGTGGGAGTCGCTGTTATCGATGACCTGAAATTCACCGCTTTCCTGCTCCTGGTAAACGGCTGACTGATACAGACCTGACAGAGATGGTTACCGTGGTTACTGAAAAAGACCAGCACTGTTTTAAATTAGGCTGTTACATGACTGTGTTTATGGTCTAACTGAGGTGGTTAGATCAGCTCAGCTGCAACTAGTCCTCCGAGGTCTTGAGAAGGTTTCACTTACTGATAATCTGATGATTATTTATGAAGTTTTAACAATGCATACTTTACCAATAAAGTGACAATTTATAGCAGAGGTTTAGCCTTTATAGTATTCAACAAGAAATGTCTACTTTTAAGGGGAAGCTTAAAACTTTCCTTTTTGATAAAGCTTATAGTTAGAGTGGCTCAGGTTATCCTGAGCTATCTCTATAGTTATGCTGCTATAGGCTTAGACTGCTGGAGGACATAGGGACCCCTTTTTCATCATTCTACTTCATTCTATCTCTATTCTCCCACTCTGCAGAATCTGTTAGTTCAATCTCTATCGTTCTGCTCTCTCTGCTTTTTCTCATAGTAGCTTCATCTGGTCTGTTCCTGTTTGGCTGTGACTCCATCCAGGAGAGAAATATCAGCTGTGCTGCTGCCATCAACACCTTTGTTTCTAGATGTTGGAGCTTGACCTGTTTTTCAGTGTAGTCCTGTTTCTCTGAGTGTGACTAAATGGATGTGCTCTCTTCATTCTCTGACATGGGAGGTGGCTCGGAGCTCGTCTGCCTGGCTGTCTGTTACCTGGACGGGGCCGCCTGTGGAGCTGGTTGACAGTTGCCTTTTGTATCTATGCTTCTTTTTCTACGTCTCCTCCTGTCTCCTTGAACCTCAGTCGGCCTCAGCAGATGGCCGCTCACACTGAGCCTGGTTCTGCTGGAGGTTTCTTCCTGTTAAAAGGGAGTTTTTCCTCCCCACTGTCGCTACAAGCATGCTTAGTTTGAGGGACTGCCTTCGATTTGGTTTTCCTTAGATAGAAAACCTTGTATTAATCTGACTAGATTATCTGGCGAACTGTAAACTGCCTTGAGATGATATGTGGTGTGACTTGGCACTATATAAATAAACTGAATTGAAATGGCCACTGTAGTAGATGTTGTAGTTATGAGCAGAATCTGTGGTTACCGTAAGGGATGAAGGGTCGGTCAGTGGGAGGCAGCAAGATGAAACGTTTTTCTCCAGAAACCACACAGTACAGGTTCTCATACGGATCTTTATGCACTAAAAGAACAAAAAGAAAACACTGAAAAACCGAGCGCCTAAAAAGCTGCATCTGTCTGGCTGCTGCTGCTTTGGATTAACATCGTTTTTGACCATTTAATTTTATCCTTCTTTGTCCCTTTATTCAAATAATAAACTTTTATGAGAAACTTTTGAGGAATCAGAGATGGATCCCTCACAGAAAAATCATTTAAAGATTTATTAAATAGTTTTCTTTCAAATATATGGCAAAAGAAATTCTCTAAATGGGCAGAATAAGTCAGCTGAAATAGTTTAATTCAGAGTTAATAGTAGTTCTATTTTTTGTTATATTTCAACCTGTAATTTTATGTTTTAATAATAAAAAAGGCAGACTTTGTGACCTAAATAAATGACTCCTATGAGTAATTTTAAATGGCTTTTGCTCTACTATTCTTCAACCTCTCTACTACTGGTCATGGCTGAGGGAAAGAAAAAGTTTAAACATTTTGGGTAGTCTTAAAAAAGAAAACGGGAAAGGGGTCGAGGAAAAACAAGAGTCGATCTTGGAAAGTTTGTTCGTTGGCGCAGGCTGAAGGAAGAAGCCAGATGTAAAACTGATTCTCTTTTCTCAACTTTACTATTAGACAAGTAAGTTAAAAATTTGCTCCTAGTATACAGTCATAGATCTTTGATATTATTTTTAATGTTTAGTAGAATCAAATCACAGGCAGTTGCAGGTCTAGCGCCCCTAGTGGCCAATAGTTACACCCTGTGCCATAGATAGACAGACAGACAGATATCTATATTTACAAGTTATAGTCCCACAGTTACTACTTGGTTAACATAACTTGGTTCTGCACGAATTAGGCCAGAACCATGGAGAGCTCCATATACTGTGACCGGGCAACATTTCAGAGAAATGCTGTTAGTAGAAAATGATATTAAGATTTCTAAACTTGTCTTTGATAATGTAAACAAATCTATAATTGATAAATATAAGTCAACTGAATTTGAATAAAACAGGATAGAGATTAATGCACAGCAGAACAGTAATACAGAGAACAACCTCTCAATCAATGAGCTTTTATAGCGTGTTTTGTAAAAAAATGACAGAAAGTATCAGTCTGTCAGCCCTGCCTATATTTTGAATGGCTCCAACTATTAGACACAACCTAACTTTCTCCATGGCTCTGAATCAGGGTTATTAGACGCAACCTAACTTTCTCCATGGCTCTGAATCAGGGTTATTAGACGCAACCTAACTTTCTCCATGGCTCTGAATCAGGGTTATTAGACGCAACCTAACTTTCTCCATGGCTCTGAATCAGGGTTATTAGACGCAACCTAAGTTTCTCCATGGCTCTGAATCGGGGTTATTAGACGCAACCCAAGTTTCGCCATGGCTCTGAATCGGGGTTATTAGATGCAACCCAAGTTTCCCATGGCTCTGAATCGGGGTTATTAGACGCAACCCAAGTTTCCCATGGCTCTGAATCAGGGTTATTAGACGCAACCCAAGTTTCGCCATGGCTCTGAATCAGGGTTATTAGACGCAACCTAAGTTTCTCCACGGCTCTGAATCAGGGTTATTAGACGCAACCTAACTTTCTCCATGGCTCTGAATCAGGGTTATTAGACGCAACCTAAGTTTCTCCACGGCTCTGAATCAGGGTTATTAGACGCAACCTAACTTTCTCCATGGCTCTGAATCAGGGTTATTAGACGCAACCTAACTTTCTCCATGGCTCTGAATCAGGGTTATTAGACGCAACCTAACTTTCTCCATGGCTCTGAATCAGGGTTATTAGACGCAACCTAACTTTCTCCATGGCTCTGAATCAGGGTTATTAGAGGCAACCTAAGTTTCTCCATGGCTCTGAATGAGGGTTATTAGACGCAACCTAAGTTTCTCCATGGCTCTGAATCAGGGTTATTAGACGCTACCTAACTTTCGCCATGGCTCTGAATCAGGGTTATTAGACGCAACCTAAGTTTCACCATGGCTCTGAATCAGGGTTATTAGACGCAACCTAACTTTCTCCATGGCTCTGAATCAGGGTTATTAGACGCAACCTAACTTTCTCCATGGCTCTGAATCAGGGTTATTAGACGCTACCTAACTTTCGCCATGGCTCTGAATCAGGGTTATTAGACGCAACCTAAGTTTCACCATGGCTCTGAATCAGGGTTATTAGACGCAACCTAACTTTCTCCATGGCTCTGAATCAGGGTTATTAGACGCAACCTAACTTTCTCCATGGCTCTGAATCAGGGTTATTAGACGCAACCTAACTTTCTCCATGGCTCTGAATCAGGGTTATTAGACGCAACCTAACTTTCTCCATGGCTCTGAATCAGGGTTATTAGACGCTACCTAACTTTCGCCATGGCTCTGAATCAGGGTTATTAGACGCAACCTAAGTTTCACCATGGCTCTGAATCAGGGTTATTAGACGCAACCTAACTTTCTCCATGGCTCTGAATCAGGGTTATTAGACGCAACCTAACTTTCTCCATGGCTCTGAATCAGGGTTATTAGACGCAACCTAACTTTCTCCATGGCTCTGAATCAGGGTTATTAGACGCAACCTAACTTTCTCCATGGCTCTGAATCAGGGTTATTAGACGCTACCTAACTTTCGCCATGGCTCTGAATCAGGGTTATTAGACGCAACCTAAGTTTCACCATGGCTCTGAATCAGGGTTATTAGACGCAACCTAACTTTCTCCATGGCTCTGAATCAGGGTTATTAGACGCAACCTAACTTTCTCCATGGCTCTGAATCAGGGTTATTAGAGGCAACCTAAGTTTCTCCATGGCTCTGAATGAGGGTTATTAGACGCAACCTAAGTTTCTCCATGGCTCTGAATCAGGGTTATTAGACGCTACCTAACTTTCGCCATGGCTCTGAATCAGGGTTATTAGAGGCAACCTAAGTTTCTCCATGGCTCTGAATGAGGGTTATTAGACGCAACCTAACTTTCGCCATGGCTCTGAATCAGGGTTATTAGACGCAACCTAACTTTCGCCATGGCTCTGAATCAGGGTTATTAGACGCAACCTAACTTTCGCTATGGCTCTGAATCAGGGTTATTAGACGCAACCTAACTTTCTCCATGGCTCTGAATCAGGGTTATTAGAGGCAACCTAAGTTTCTCCATGGCTCTGAATCAGGGTTATTAGACGCAACCTAAGTTTCTCCATGGCTCTGAATCAGGGTTATTAGACGCTACCTAACTTTCGCCATGGCTCTGAATCAGGGTTATTAGAGGCAACCTAAGTTTCTCCATGGCTCTGAATGAGGGTTATTAGACGCAACCTAACTTTCGCCATGGCTCTGAATCAGGGTTATTAGACGCAACCTAACTTTCGCCATGGCTCTGAATCAGGGTTATTAGACGCAACCTAACTTTCTCCATGCCTCTGAATCAGGGTTATTAGACGAAACCTAACTTTCTCCATGGCTCTGAATCAGGGTTATTAGACGCAACCCAAGTTTCGCCATGGCTCTGAATCAGGGTTATTAGAGGCAACCTAAGTTTCTCCATGGCTCTGAATCAGGGTTATTAGACGCAACCTAAGTTTCGCCATGGCTCTGAATCAGGGTTATTAGAGGCAACCTAAGTTTCTCCATGGCTCTGAATCAGGGTTATTAGACGCAACCTAACTTTCGCCATGGCTCTGAATCAGGGTTATTAGACGCAACCTAACTTTCTCCATGGCTCTGAATCAGGGTTATTAGACGAAACCTAACTTTCGCTATGGCTCTGAATCAGGGTTATTAGACGCAACCTAACTTTCTCCATGGCTCTGAATCAGGGTTATTAGACGCAACCTAACTTTCGCCATGGCTCTGAATCAGGGTTATTAGACGCAACCTAACTTTCTCCATGGCTCTGAATCAGGGTTATTAGACGCAACCTAACTTTCTCCATGGCTCTGAATCAGGGTTATTAGACGAAACCTAACTTTCGCTATGGCTCTGAATCAGGGTTATTAGACGCAACCTAACTTTCTCCATGGCTCTGAATCAGGGTTATTAGACGCAACCTAACTTTCGCCATGGCTCTGAATCAGGGTTATTAGACGCAACCTAACTTTCTCCATGGCTCTGAATCAGGGTTATTAGACGCAACCTAACTTTCTCCATGGCTCTGAATCAGGGTTATTAGAGGCAACCTAAGTTTCTCCATGGCTCTGAATCAGGGTTATTAGACGCAACCTAAGTTTCGCCATGGCTCTGAATCTGGGTTATTAGAGGCAACCTAAGTTTCTCCATGGCTCTGAATCAGGGTTATTAGACGCAACCTAACTTTCGCCATGGCTCTGAATCAGGGTTATTAGACGCAACCTAACTTTCGCCATGGCTCTGAATCAGGGTTATTAGACGCAACCTAACTTTCTCCATGGCTCTGAATCAGGGTTATTAGACGAAACCTAACTTTCGCTATGGCTCTGAATCAGGGTTATTAGACGCAACCTAACTTTCTCCATGGCTCTGAATCAGGGTTATTAGACGCAACCTAACTTTCGCCATGGCTCTGAATCAGGGTTATTAGACGCAACCTAACTTTCTCCATGGCTCTGAATCAGGGTTATTAGAGGCAACCTAACTTTCTCCATGGCTCTGAATCAGGGTTATACAAATTCATATCCAACAGGTTTGGGGGAAAACATGAAGGTGAAACTGAGAACTTACTGGATGTGACAGCTTTCGCTTCTCCAAGCCAAAAGTTGACTGCATCCGGTGACTTTCCTAAGAAAAGACAAAATGTGACTTTTAGATGCTGAAAGTACATCAGACCTACCGATAAAAAGAACCGAGTGTATGGCGACTAGACGTCCCCGATTTCTTTGGACTGTCCCCGGTAAAAGCTGTCCCTGGAAATGTCCCCGAAATTTTGTGTGTAGACTGTTATTACAGCAGAAAAAGTATGAGTACGCTGCCTGCAGAAACAGCTGTTAGCTAGCTGATTGGCAGCTGTTAGCGAACAGATGAGGAGCACAGTGCAGCACTTTTAAAAAACAAAAGGAAGTCCATTATCAGAACCGGTCTCAGCTGCCCGGTGTTATGGTGAGTCTGTTAATAGGTTCATTTAATTTGAATTGGGCTGATCATTGTGAAACATGTTTGGTTCATGCCCAGGTTATAACTTCTCTGTAGTCTGTAGACTGTTTGGACTGTAGACTGTTTATATAACAGTATTTCCTCACAACCCTGTCCTCTCTGACCACTTTCTAATAACCTTCAGGATTACTTTAACAGAGTTCTCCTCCCCCAAAAGAAGGTTCAATTTTAGTAGATCTTTATCAGATAGTGCAGTTATAAATTTTAAAGAATCTGCTTCACTTTCTCTCTGCTCTGTGTCACTGAGCAGTGCTGCAGAGTGCAAAAGCTTAGCTTATTCCCCTTCACAGGTTGATGATTTTGTTGAGGGGGTTGCTAGTTCTCTGCGTATTGCCCTAGACAACGCAGCTCCTTTGAAAATGAAAACCGTTAAAAATAGAAAGCTTGCTCCTTGGTTTAATGCAGAGCTGCGTACTTTGAAGCAAAATGCTAGGAAACTGGAGAGAAAATATCGCTCCACAGGCCTGCGAGAGTCCTTCCTAGTCTGGAAAAATGGTTTACTGCTGTATAAGAGGACCCTTTGTAAAGCAAGAGCAGCATACTTCTCCTCATTAATAGAGGAGAATAAGAATAATCCTAGATTTCTTTTTAATACAGTTGCCAAACTCACCCAGAGCCATAGCTCTGTTGAACCGTCCATTCCACCTGCTCTTAGCAGCAATGATTTTATGGGATTCTTTATAAATAAGATTGATCTTATTAAAAATAAGATCATAAGCACTCCTCTATCCGCGATTGTACCTGAGGTAGTCATGGAATCTGAACCGGGTTTAGACTGCTTTGATCCAGTTGAACTCTCTGAATTAGCAAAATTATTGTCTTCATCTAAGCCTTCAACTTGTATGTTAGATCCAGTTCCAACCAGGTTATTTAAGGAGGTATTCCCTTTGATCTCCTCCTCCATTTTAGATGTGATTAATCTATCTCTGTTACAGGGATATGTACCTAAAGCTTTTAAGATTGCTGTAATTAAACCTCTGCTTAAGAAACCGTCTCTTGACCCAGATGACTTGGTCAATTATAGACCTATATCCAATCTTCCTTTCTTATCCAAAATTCTTGAGAAAGTAGTTGCCAAACAAGTTTGCGATCACTTCCACCATAATGAACTTTTTGAAGAGTTTCAGTCTGGCTTTAGAGCTCATCATAGCACTGAAACAGCTCTGGTGAAAGTCACTAATGATATTCTCATGGCCTCAGATAATGGACTTGTATCTGTGCTCGTCCTGTTGGATCTTAGTGCTGCATTTGATACAGTTGACCATAATATTCTTTTAGAAAGACTTGAATATTTTGTTGGAATTAAAGGAACAGCACTAGACTGGTTTAAATCTTATCTATCTGATCGAATTCAGTTTGTTCATGTTAATGATAGATCTTCAACACGCTCAAAGGTTACCTGTGGAGTACCACAGGGATCAGTGCTAGGACCAATTCTCTTTACTTTATACATGCTCCCAATTGGTAGAATTATTAGACAGCATGGGATTAATTTCCACTGTTATGCTGATGATACCCAGCTATATCTGTCTATAAATCCAGATGAAGCTAACCCATTACATAGATTACAGGCATGTCTTGAAGACATAAAAACCTGGATGACTCTTAATTTTCTGCTTCTGAATGCAGACAAAACAGAAGTTATAGTCTTTGGACCAGAGTCTCTGAAAAAGAAACTGATTAGCCAGTCACTTCATTTGGATGGGATTAAACTGATTTCAGATAATAAAGTAAAAAATCTTGGTGTTATTTTTGATCAGGACCTGTCATTTAAATCCCATATCAAAGAGGTTTCTAGAATTTCCTTCTTTCATCTGAGGAACATTGCAAAAATTAGAAATATCCTGTCCAGGGGTGATGCTGAGAAACTAGTCCATGCATTTGTTACTTCAAGGCTGGACTATTGTAATTCTTTACTATCAGGAAGTCCACAAACTGTAGTTAAAAGCCTTCAGCTGATCCAAAATGCTGCAGCCAGAGTTCTAATGAAAATGAAAAAGAGAGATCATATCTCTCCTATCCTGGCTTCTCTTCATTGGCTTCCTGTTAAATCCAGAATAGAATTTAAAATCCTCCTTCTCACATATAAAGCCTTAAATGGCCAAGCTCCATCTTATATCAGAGATCTGATTGTTCCTTATGTTCCTAACAGAGCACTTCGCTCTCAATCTGCAGGTTTACTAGTGGTTCCTAGAATTTCTAAAAGTAGAATGGGAGGCAGATCTTTTAGTTATCAGGCTCCTCTCCTGTGGAACCAACTACCAGTTTTAGTCCGTGAGGCAGACACCCTGTCTACTTTTAAGGCTAGGCTTAAAACTTTCATTTTTGATAAAGCTTATAGTTAGGGTGGCTCAGGTTATCCTGAGCTATCTCTATAGTTATGCTGCTATAGGCTTAGACTTTTGGAGGAAATAGGGACCCCCATTTCATCATTCTGCTTCATTCTCTCTCTGTTCTCCTATTCTGCAGAATCTGTTAGTTCAATCTCTAACCTTCTGCTCTCTCTGCTTTTCCTCAGAGTAGCTTTGCCTCGTCTGTTCCTGTTTGGCTGTGACGTCATCCTGGAAAGAAACATCAGCTGTGCTGCTTCTATCAACACCCTTGTTAATAGATGTTGGAGATCGGCCTGTTTTCCAGTGTGGTCCTGTTTCTCTGACCGTGACTGAGTGGATGTGCTCTCTTCGTCCTCTGGCATGGGAGCTGCCTTGGAGCTCGTCTGCCTGGCTGTGTGTTTCCTGGACGGGGCCGCCTTTTACAGCTGCTTTTTGTATCTCTGCTTCTGTCTCCTTGAACCCCAGTCGGCCTCGGCAGATGGCCGCTCACACTGAGCCTGGTTCTGCTGGAGGTTTCTTCCTGTTAAAAGGGAGTTTTTCCTCTCCACTGTCGCTACAAGCATGCTTAGTGTGGGGGATTGTATTTGAGTCAATGAGTCAATGCAATCAACTGGTTTTCCTTAGATAGAAAACTTTGTATCAATTTGACTGTATGATCTGGTTGAACTGTAAAGTGCCTTGAGATGACATGTGTTGTGAATTTGGCGCTATATAAATAAACTGAATTGAATTGAATTGTTTTTATCTGACCGACAGCCGTGTGGAAGAAACCATCTGGTTGTAGCTGAAGGCTCTCTGTAGACCAGCCCTGGTCCATGAGATCTACAGGCCTGCAGGTTTTAGATGCATCCATCACATCTAATTCATTGGGCATCTAAAAACTGCAGGGTTTTAGATAGACTAGCCTGATGTCCGGCTTAAGGTCGGACAGTCTGGCGTCCAGCGCTGCATCCAGCCAGACACGTATTTGTGCTCCTTTATGAGGCACTTTTTACTTAAATATTCAGCCACACAAGCACTTTAAACTCCTCATAATTGTACTATAAATGAGAGTATACCAGATTCTTATGTAAACCTCAGTCATTTATTTATGTGCTGCATTATGTCCTCATTTTTGGTGCTATAGAAATGCCCCCCAGCTGTAGATCTTGAGGAAAGGGTGGAAAGAAAAACACAGGAAGAAAACTCAAGCAGAACCAGAACCAGTGTGAATAGCCTTCTGCTGCTGTCGACTTTGAACTGACAGAATTTTCACACAGAAGGTGTCAAAGAGGAAAGTTTTAAGCCTAGTCTTAAAAGTAGACAGGGTGTCTGCCTCACGGACTAAAACTGGTAGTTGGTTCCACAGGAGAGGAGCCTGATAACTGAAAGATCTGCCTCCCATTCTACTTTTAGAAATTCTAGGAACCACTAGTAAACCTGCAGATTGAGAGCGAAGTGCTCTGTTAGGAACATAAGGAACAATTAGATCTCTGACATCAGATGGAGCTTGGCCATTTAAGGCTTTATATGTGAGAAGGAGGATTTTAAATTCTATTCTGGATTTAACAGGAAGCCAATGAAGAAAAGCCAGGATAGGAGAGATATGATCTCTCTTTTTCATTTTCATCAGAAATGTGGCTGCAGCATTTTGGATCAGCTGAAGGCTTTTAACTACAGTTTGTGGACTTCCTGATAGTAAAGAATTACAATAGTCCAGCCTTGAAGTAACAAATGCATGGACTAGTTTCTCAGCATCACCCCTGGACAGGAATTTTCTCATTTTTGCAATATTCCACAGATGAAAGAAGGAAATTCTAGAAACCTCTTTGATATGGGATTTAAATGACAGGTCCTGATCAAAATGACACCAAGATTTATCTTCTTAACTTGAGGAAAATCAGACCCAGGTGATTAATGAACGTTCTAGAGAACATGAAGGGATTTAAATGAATGGATTTTTGATCAGATTAAGTTTAAAAATTATCTTCAAACTTATTCCAGCATTAAGCAAATAGACGTGGAAGTGACCTGAATCAAAGCTGGGTTGAGTGTTTTCTATTCTACAGAAATACCTGGTTCGAGTCCGTTTAACTCACCGAGTGCAGCACTCATCCAGGGAACGTGAGGCTCCAGGTCGTCCACCAGCTCCGGCAGCTCCTGCAGCAGGTTGGAGCACTGCTTCTGGACGTAGAAAACTCCTTTCCTCTGCACCTGCATCAGTCACTCCCGGAGAGAGTGAGAACTGACATCACTCTAGCTACAGCATCCTGGAGCGGCTCCTGCTGCGACTCACCTTTCCTTCTATTATGTCCAGCACTGAAGAGAAGCGCATCTGTCGCTCCTCAGGCATGACAAAACGATCCCCCAGCACAGCGTCGGCGTAGCCGTTAGGAGTTACCGCCACGCTGATCACCTTTGAGCCAATCTTCTCCCTGCAGTCAGGAGGTTCGGAAAATTCAGCCACACATCCTGTTGAATCAAAAAAGCTTCCTGTATGGGAAGCATCTTCAAACTTGGAAACAAAGTCCAGTAGATTTTTTTTAAGATTTCTTTTTAGTTTTTTGGAATGACAGTCTAAGTGGAGCTTTAAAGTCGATCAAATTATTCCTCAGCTTTAAATGAGCCGATCTTCCAACAGTCGCGTCACCTGAGGTATTGAGGCGTCCACCTGGACAAGGCTGGCCAATGGCTGAAGGCATTGCGGATGATGCAGGGCTTGTTTGGGCCAATCCACTGGCGATAGAACTGCAGCGGCTCTGGCGGTCCCTCCAAGTATGGCACCGAGGTGTTGAGGTAAAGATCTGATGGATGATCAGCAGTCAGTGACAGAGCAGAAAACACTACAACCTGTACAAGGTACGTATGACCGGCAATGGAAACAATGACATTAGCATCTAGTTTAGCACATAGGAACAGATTGACAGGTTAATATTAATTAAACACATCAAAGCTAAGAACTCAGAACTAATTTTACTTACAGGTGACAGATGAGGCTCTTCAGGTGAACCATCAAAGGCCAACTAATTTACGTGGAATTTCAAAATTAAAGCCCAACAAAATCCCTACACCTAACAGAGTTGGATCACTTTGACCTAAGCTGACCTCCATACTGCTGATAAACTTTTTTTTTTAATTTTTTTTTAAATAAAATAAACTCCACATCTGATTCTGCTTAAACCCGAGGAGTCACACTGTTTACATTTGATCACTGCTGCACTTTAAGAAATGGAAACATCATGAAAGCTGTACAAAACCAAATTTCACAATAAAATGACAACAAAAGTTGTCTAAGTCTGAAGTTGTTCGACTATCATTTCAAGATGGAAGCGTTCATTGAAAACGCATGGCAGCAATTATTACAATTTAGTTTGAAGTCACTAAATGTAGAGATGTAGGAGCTTTAATTGTGAAATTCAACCTCAGATTCCACATCAACAAAGTTCAGTCAGATGTTCAGCTGTCATTCTGGACTGAAAGCATTTACTGAAAACAGCTTAGATGATTCATGTGGAGGGCCTCGTCTGTCGAAAAAAACACTTCTAAGTGAAATTTAATGAGTGAATGAAAAAAATAGCATAAAGCTGAATACATTTTTAACTTACTTCATATATGTAAAAAGTATATCCATACAAAAATACTGCTCTTATTTTGAAACATAATCTCAGGCGTTACTACCGTAATTCTTACTATTGAAGCGCCCTAAAAAAATACAAACACATGAGGGTTTGAGTGTTCATTCCTAAGTGGAGGCTGGCTTTACTTGGTCCCACAGGTCAGAGTAGGCAATATGAAATGCAGACATACCAACATCCACACACAGTAAACTCGGTAAACCCACGAGCCTCATACATGAGAGGAGATGGAAGCATATCAAAATAAGATGCGCAGACACTGTTTCATTTGCCCTCATCAGAGATAACGGTCCTTATTGTTCCCTTGATCGTTTCTTATAGTCTATGAGATCCGTTGGTCTATTCTAGTAAAATAAATTTCTTTATAATTAAGAGATTCTGGTCTCGTTATTTAAAAACAAAGATTAAAAATCAGTAGAATCGTTCAGTTTAAGTCAATTTTCTGATCAGTGTCAGTAAGCAGCAGGATATGAGTGGAGAAAAATCTCACCGTGAGCTTCCAGGGAAAACTCAACCAGCCGTTCGTGAACAGACTCCATGAGGAGCTCCTCTCAGCTGACCACAAGGATCAGAAAAGGAGAACTTCATGTCGCTACCCGATCCGTACCGGTGTAGGTACCAGATTGACTCGGGCTGCCAGATTGACTCGGGGGCCTGCGCCTTTTGATGACGTCACAATACATAATTGTTTTAACGTTTGCACAATTGCGCAAAACATTTTGATTGGTCTGGACAGCTTACTAAAGTAATTATAGCGGGGTGTAGGTTTTATTCGAAAGCGGGATTGCTGTTTGTAAACGGACAATTTTACGAAGACATTCTCCATGGTCCCTGCGCCTTCTGATGACGTCACCGAATTCGCCATGGGCCTTGCGCCTCCCGATGACGTGACATTATGGCAATGCCACTCAAACAAACTACATTGAGCCCGCGGTCTGCATTTGTAACGAGAATAAATTCAGGAGAATGAAGCTAAAGGGATACAAAAAATAAACTTGTAATATTACAAAACCAAAAATACTACGAATACAAAGTATATTCAGAGATTAAAGTCCCTCTGATACTGTTTAAGTGACTGAGAAACTGCAGATTTGCCACATTTAAGATGGCGGACGCTCTGACGCATCTCAAAAGGCGCAGGCCCCCGAGTCAATCTGGCAGCCCGAGTCAATCTGGTACCTACACCGGTAGCACGATCCGTACCATCAGCTCATTTGCGCCTGCGCGAACAGAATAACTTCCGGGTCGCCAAAAAATAATGTAATTACGGTACTGAAAAAACTTTATTTATATCCTGAAATAATTAAAGAACACTAAACTACATCGTAAAGACAATATTGAAGACTTTTCTGGAAGAAATGGATGCTTTTTAAATTCAATCCATTGTATTGTTGACGTCATCATCAGACATGCTAAGAGCAGTCTGGGAATATATTATTGCGTAACGTTTATCTGATGCACTCTATGATAATAGGGTGAATGCACTCTATTATTTTTTTATTTGAGAAAAAGTTTTTTTATTTTATTCCTTAATAACATTAATTTTGTTTACACACACATATATATCTATATCTATATAGATATAGATATATAATCCATATTGTAATGTTTTACATTACATAAAGTTGTATAATAAACTTGAACACAAATACTCTTGTATAAAATAGATTTGTTAAGAACGTTAAAGTTATCAGTTGATATTTAGGCGCCCTCTGGTGTACACATCAAAAACAGGAGAAGACCTCGTCATTAATGCCCACATTGTTTATTTTTTACAAAAACCAAACAGGGAATAGAACAAAGAACACATAACAAAGCCAAAGCATAAATTATTAAAAAATGGTAGTTAGAAAAGTTGGGCAGAGAATAAAATAATTCAGAGAGAGAAAGAAAACCTTTAAAACTTTTTAAGAACTGACTATACAAACATTCTAAGAACTATGCTCGCAAAACATGGTATTGACCTTTAGTCCCATTACATCAACACAGTTGATGTAAAACATTTCCATGTCTTCCTGATACTGGAAGGAAATTAAGAAGGGATCCTTTGCAGAACTGTATCCTTCAAGGGCCATTTTCTGCCTGGGCTTGCTCATCTGTAAGACTTCAGGTTCTCCTATTTCCCCACGGAATAAGGCTTTGTGCTGTTGAATCCAGTCCCATGCTTTATGCAAGTCCCTCAGGGTCTGTGTCTGTCCCTAAAGTATGAAAAAAGTACATAAAAAAACGTAAAATACTATATAGTATATATATACACACGTGACTCAATTCTGTAGTTTCAAAAGAGGTGATCAGGAAAAGAGCAGAACCAGGAGCTTGATGCTTTTCACCCTCGCTTCACTAGCACTAAACATTAAACACACACCTTCGCATTGCCCTCTCCACCATCACCATTTCTGGGGGAAGTCTCTGCACTGGTGGACTTTGGAACCCTAAAGACCGGTTCCAGGATTCCTTCAAGAAGATGGAAGGATTCTTCTGTCCAGTGAGCAAATCGTTGTCCATGCCTTTGAATGGAACAACAGGATCATTAGCACATAGTAAACTAAAATACAGAAGACATTGAAGTTTCCTGTGTGAAGGTACCCTTCAATGCTAAACCTCTCCATTATCTGGAGGCACCACCAACGGCGAATGGTTGGCATCTCCCACTTGAAAAAACAGGCAAAAGCAAGTATAATAAAAATTACAAGTGGCTAGAAGAATTTCAATGTAATCAACCCCCCAAAAACTAAAATAAACATACCTGGGAAAAGGTAAATGGGGTTGATGTGCTGATGCAGAGGGCATACTGTAAAACATCAAATAACTGTAACACACAGTTTGAGCCATGAGTAAAAGCTTTAAGTAAGCAGTGAATACCATTAACATGAAGATCCCACAGTCATGTCCGTTGGACTGAAGAGGAAAATGCTAAGCAAAGAGAAGCAAAAAGACACATGTAAAATTTGAGAAAAGTACAACAATATATGAGTGATAAATATGTGTTTTACTGCAAACATTTTACACTTTGATAATTACAAACATACTTCAAGGTCTCTCCCTGTCTTCTCAGACCATGGCCCTGGATCAATAAAGGCTGCAATGCGTCTGCATACATTTGAATTATAAATTCAGATTAAGGTGACACACTGAAATATACAAGTAGCCTGAGAACGAGGCTTTTATGAACGCCTGAGAACGAGGCTTTTATGAACGCCTGAGAACGAGGCTTTTATGAGCACCTAGCCTGAGAACGAGGCTTTTATGAACATATATCCAAAGAGACAGAACTGGCAATAGGCCACAACCAGTGAATCAATACAGGTGCTGGTCATAAAATTAGAATATCATGAAAAAGTAGATTGATTTCAGTAATTCCATTTAAAAAGTGAAACTTGTATATTATATTCATACATTACATACAAACTCATATATTTCAGATGTTTATTTTGTTTAATTTTGATGATTACAAATGACAACAAATGAAAATCTCAAATTCATCATATCAGAAAATTAGAATATTGTGAAAAGGTTCAAAATTGATGGCCCCTGGTGCCACACTCTAATCAGCTAATTAACTCAAACCACCTGCAAAAGCCTTTAAATGGTCTTTCAGTCTAGTTCTATAGGCTACACAATCATGGGGAAGACTGCTGACTTGACAGTTGTCCAAAAGACGACCATCGACACCTTGCACAAGGAGGGCAAGACACAAAAGGTCATCGCTAAAGAGGCTGGCTGTTCACAGAGCTCAGTGTCCAAGCACATTAATAGAGAGGCGAAGGGAAGGAAAAGATGTGGTCGAAAAAAGTGTACAAGCAAGAGAGATAACCGCACCCTGGAGAGGATTGTGAAACAAAACCCATTCAAAAATGTGGGGGAGATTCACAAAGAGTGGACTGCAGCTGGAGAGAGTGCTTCAAGAACCACCACACACAGACGTATGAAAGACATGGGTTTCTGCTGTCGCATTCCTTGTGTCAAGCCACTCTTGAACCACAGACAGCGTCAGAAGCGTCTAAAGAGAAACAGGACTGGACTGCTGGTGAGTGGTCCAAAGTCATGTTCTCTGATGAAAGTAAATTTTGCATTTCCTTTGGAAATCAAGGTCCCAGAGTCTGGAGGAAAAGAAGAGAGGCACTTCATCCACGTTGCTTGAAGTCCAGTGTAAAGTTTCCACAGTCAGTGATGGTTTGGGGTGCCATGTCATCTGCTGGTGTTGGTCCATTGTGTTTTCTGAGGTCCAGGGTCAACGCAACCACATACCAGGAAGTTTTAGAGCACTTCATGCTTCCTGCAGCTGACCAACTTTTTGGAGATGCAGATTTCATTTTCCAACAGGACTTGGCACCTGCACACAGTGCCAAAGCTACCAGTACCTGTTTGAAGGACCATGGTATCCCTGTTCTTAATTGGCCAGCAAACTCTCCTGACCTTAACCCCATAGAAAATCTATGGGGTATTGTGAAGAAGAAGATGCAATACACCAGACCCAACAATTCAGAAGAGCTAAAAGCCACTATTAGAGCAACCTGGGCTATCATAACACCTGAGCAGTGCCACAGACTGATCGACTCCATGCCACGCCGCATTGCTGCAGTAATACAGGCCAAAGGAGGCCCAACTAAATACTAAGTGCTGTACATGCTCATACTTTTCATGTTCATACTTTTCAGTTGGCCAACATTTCTATAAATCCTTTGTTTTTATTGGTCTTCAGTAATATTCTAATTTTCTGATATGATGAATTTGAGATTTTCATTTGTTGTCATTTGTAATCATCAAAATTAAACAAAATAAACATCTGAAATATATGAGTTTGTATGTAATGTATGAATATAATATACAAGTTTCACTTTTTAAATGGAATTACTGAAATCAATCTACTTTTTCATGATATTCTAATTTTATGACCAGCACCTGTATAGCTTGAACCTAAATATATTTTTGTAGGCCTCGTCACCAAAACCATCTGGTCGAAGGGAGTCAAGAAACACTATCTCTCTCTGTTTTACCAGTAGAACCTGCAATTGATATTCTTTTTATTATCACATCATTAAACAGCAATACATATAAATCCTTCACTGAGATTATTTAAAATACAAAAATTGTCATTACGCAGAGGAGGTAGTGATCAACAGCGTCCTGTTGTTGGCTCCATGCTGGGAAAACTACAAGGTCTTTCGTTGTCAGGTCCTAATAATACCAATATGCATTAATATTACATCATACATGTTGTATACACTGAAGAATAGAAAGAGTGAGGAGGACAGCAATATAGATAAATTCACGAAAATACCTACAGGCAGTGAACACAAAGGATCCACATCTGCCTTCCACAGGGGCACCACATACAGATTGAAGATGTGTATGTCTTTTCCCTTGTGAAAACAGAAAGAATGATGTTAAGCATTTCAATTGTTTCACAGGGCGTAAATATGAAGATCTAGGCAATTTAATTACAAATCTTTTTGCCGTTTCCTCTACTATTTTCAGGCAAGCATTTCCAATCTGAAAAACATTGAAATTAACCAGTGATTAGACAGTTAGATATTACAGGTTTTATGAGACACATTTAAGAATACTTACATTTGATTCCATGCACTGACTTAACCCCAAGGACCAGAAATCCTCACATGTAAGGCACACACTTCCCTCCTTCACAATTAGCTCAGCAGGTGAACAATCCTGGTCCAATATGTAACTTAGCTAAATGAAAGAAAATTTAAATATTTCAGGAGAAGTTATTACATTTGGGGCAGCAATGTGAGAAAGGAGAGGAGATTAAATTAGCAGAGCCAGTCAGGCGCAGATTCAGAGCAAAATATGTCAAAGCATACAAGAGCCTCTTGAACTGGGTTCACATCCCGTTCCCACTTTGCTCCAGAAAAACAATAGGAATGCTCCTGCTGCCAGTCCCTAGAGGAGTATTCGTGGTCGTTGAGGAGCTGCCCTTCAGATAGTTGCTCATCTGGTTGTATATATGATGACAACATTTTTTCAGTTATTCTCATGAAGTAAAAATATGAACACAAAGACACAGAAGTGTGGAACATCTAAAAGCACTTACTTGTTAACCTATAATAGGGCCTCAGTCTGGACACATTGACCTTCATGGTTGTTGATCCCTTCAGCACAGTGGCCACTCCCTTTTTTGTAATGTTTCCAATCTTGTAAGGTCCTCTGTGCTGGCTGGTCAACGTGTCCCCTGTACGTGGCCTTTTTGAAGCCCCTGAAATCAGACATTCATCCCCAGCCTCAACAGTTGCGACACGGGTAAATTTGCGTTTCTGGTCTCCAAAAGTCCTTTGCTGTCTTTCCTGTGCCATTTCAATATTTTGAAGAACCTTCAAAAATAGAAATGCACTTTAGGCAAGATTGTAAAAAAAATCTTATTTCTAGTATTTTCTCAACATTTACAAACCTTGGTATTAAGATTGTGTACTTCAGTCAGCTGTTTATCGATTTCATCCTCTGCATCACCAACCTCAAAGTTGTCTCCCATTGGACAGGTTTATCTCGGGCAGACGTGGGTGACGGTGGAACAAGAGGAAGTATGGGGTGTATTTGGTTGAAGACTGATAGCAAAAAAGTTCATGGTTATCTGTTTTCAGATATTTTGTGCAAATGAAACACTAGTGTACTACCTGCTTGGCAGTGTTAATTCCATAAACAACTGCAGGAAGGTGAAGGTCCCAGTCATTATGGCTTTCGTTGACATACTTCCTCAGAGCACGCTTTATATTTTGATTTGTCCTTTCATCCTAAATGAAAGATATGTTTTTTCATAAATAAAGCAACTTGATTTAAACATGGAAGTTCTTGCAAAACAAAGGCTAAATACCTGTCCATTGGTCTGGGGGTGGTATGCACTGGACACAGCATGCTGGATGTTCAGCAGTTTAAAGATACTGTCATTGAGCTGCAGGGAACACATAAATATCTTCAAAGGACTGAAGTTTGCAAAAATGACATATATATATATATATATATATATATATATATATATATATATATATATATATATATATATATATATATATATATATATATATATATATATATATATATATATATTAACCACGTCACATAAATGTTCTTTCAGTCTGCAGATGGCGCCATATAACGAGTAGGCTAGCTTTTTCTCATTGCACTAATAACACAGAGAAGATGGATAAAATTTCACCTGGTTCACAAACTCCTTCCCCATAATTAATGAGCCATAATTAATTTGTTTTACATTACCCATTCATCAACATCCTTTGTGATGGTGAGCCAATAATACCCAGCAATAACCCTGTCTCGAGTGGCCCTCCTGCCATTGTGGTTGCCAGTACCAGGATTATTGTGGCACTCCATCAAGACAGATGTTCTTTCTTTCTCAGAAAGTACCACAAGCCGCATGAACTGCCATCTGGGACCAACGTAGAAGAGTCTGCTGTCTGTTAGAAGAATGGTTGGATGGAATGATATGAAAACAGTATAAATAAAACATATTTTATGTTTTTTTTTTCATGCAAAGACATAAAATTTAAAGCATACAGATATTTTTGTGCATCCCAGAGAAATGCAGTAACCCAAACAGCATACAAGATAAAATATATAAATAAATAATTTAAAATTGTAAAAAATATGATCGCATTTAACATTTTAAATATATATTTTTACTTTGACCGTAACATGCTTGCTAGAATAAAAAGTGAAGGAAATAAGAACATAATCTTCTTAAATGTGAAATATATTCTATATTGGATTTAAAATTGAAAAGACTGCTTTCCCAGGGACAAAAAAATATATATATCATTCTTATTTAAACATTAAATGGACTTATAAACTAAATAATTATTAAATGAATATTTTTTCTGGCTGGTTTTACTTTTTAATTTTCTTACCTTTAACTTGAAAATGTGGAGACATCCTTTTTATTTTTTTTCTGGAATAAAAATCCAAATTTTCAGGAAATGTTCCCTTATCAATGAAAAACTGCAGGTATCGAAAGGTAGCAAATGAATCCATTGTGGGATCAGTACTGCTGGAGTGCATCGTTAAGTACAGAGTAAATCAAATATTTAAACAAATTTAAATATAAACGCTGTGTGACGTATATTTGCGCATGCTCAGAGCAGTCAAAGTAACTATCACAAGACGATTGAACTTTTTTTATGTATTTCTGTTTTTTTATTTTTAGAAAATGCAATATTGACGAAAATACAAAGATATACAAAAAGAAACCCATGCCTCTAAAAAATACAAAAGAATAAAAACGTAAGAAAAAGGAAATATTGCCACCGGAAGTTATTCTGTTCGAGCAGGCGCAAATGAGCTGATGGTACGGATTGTGCTACCGGTACGGATCGGGTAGCGACACTTCACACCACATTACGCCCGCCATGTTTGGTTTCTTTTTTGTGTGGGTCTGTGTTCTTTACGGTTTTACTGCAGCGCCCTCTACTGGTAGGAGGAGTGTTCAACTGGCCCAGAGCTGCAGGTGTTTCTCACGCCGCCCAGAATCTGAGAAACCCCTACCAGCGGCAGAACAAAACCAAACAATCTTTTTGCTTTCTTTAAAGTCTCCCATGTATGAAATTATTTGAATTAATCATTATTTTTAATCATTGTCATTAATCTTAATGAATCGTACTTAATCACCTGATGTATGCAGATAATTTAGTAATATTTAGCCCTAGTACTGCTGGGTTACAGCAACTACTTAACATCTGCTCTGAGTATGGTCTGGAACACAACATAAAGTACAATCCATCTAAAAGTGTGATCACGATCTGTAGGAGTAAGGAAGATAAATCTACTGAGTTTCCAGATTTTCTGCTGTCAAATACTGTGCTGGGTGTTACAAACAAAACCAAGTATCTTGGGCACATCATCACAGAAAATCTGTCAGACGATGATGATATTTGCAGACAATGTAGATTGTTGTATGCTCAAGCTAATACCCTTGCTCGTAAATTCGGTTCATGTACTGATAAAGTCAAAGTGGAACTGTTTAATGCATATTGTACCTCTCTGTACACTGCTCACCTGTGGACCACATATAGAAAAGTCAACCTGCAAAGGCTGCAGGTGGCCTATAATGATGCTATGCGGTTACTTTTGAAACGTCCAAGATGGTCCAGTGCAAGTGAGATGTTTGTCACAGCAAGAGTTAACACCCTACAAGCTGTTCTACGAAAGTTAATGTATAAGTTTATTTGTAGGTTAAATGCATCTGAAAACGATATTATTTTGTCACTTACTGATACCACACGTAATGCAATCCGATATCAGTCTAAGCTGTGGAGACACTGGTATTCCTGTCTTCTTAAAGATCCTATTTAATCAATAATGGTACTTGTATTGTGTTTTTATCATTAACCATTTTTTATTGTATTTTTATGTATGTATTTATTGGATCATGGGTCCGGAATAAAGTCTATCTATCTATCTATCTATCTATCTATCTATCTATCTATCTATCTATCTATCTATCTATCTATCTATCTATCTATCTATCTATCTATCTATCTATCTATCTATCTATCTATCTATCTATCTATCTATCTATCTGTCTGTCTGTCTGTCTGTCTGTCTGTCTGTCTGTCTGTCTGTCTGTCTGTCTGTCTGTCTGTCTGTCTGTCTGTCTGTCTGTCTGTCTGTCTGTCTGTCTGTCTGTCTGTCTGTCTGTCTGTCTGTCTGTCTGTCTGTCTGTCTATCTATCTATCTATCTATCTAGTTTTAAATATTTTACTGCAAACTGTAAAATCTGGGGAGTGTTGGCCTAATCGTTAGAGCTGTGCGCTTGTCCTCTGAGAAGGTTGCAAGAATGGGTGGGTTTAGGAAATGTGGGGCCCTTGGCAAAGACAGGCAGGGGGCCCCCTGAACTGAGAAGACAACACACTAAAATACCCATTCTACAGATAGAGAAATGTTAATAGAATAGACATCCATTATTTGTTCTAGGTTTTGTCCCTCTCTTCTTGTCCCTTTTCTTCTTGTTTTCCTCTCTATGTTTTGTACTCAGCTGACTTTTCATGCTGTCTCTAAAGGAATGAAAGATTTTTTTCCAAGCTCTAAGCTCACTTAGCTGATTGCTCCTTCCTGTGATTCCAAAAAGGCTAAAGTAAATAACTCAGTCCTTCTTTTCACTGTGGACAAGCCATGATCTGCTTCTCTGTTCTCCATTTTTCATTTGGATGAAATAATAGCTGCATGAATCATGACAGCAGACAAGATAGAGGAGAGCAGGAGGCGGGGTTACCAATCTACTTGCTCTGGAGAGCAGAGTTCACTGCTTTTAGATGTCTCCAAAGTCTCCAGTGTTTCTAAAAAGGCAAAAGTAAATAACCCAGTCCTTCTTCTCACTGTAGACATCTGTGTCAGTCAGGTTGTGGTTTGAGGACCCAAATGCGGAGGCAGAGAGGCTGAGGGAAGTTTTTGCAATTTAATTTGTGGAAACAGTAAACAAAGGCAGGGATCCAAAAATCCAACTTAAAACGTAAAACAAACCAGAACCATGGAGACATCAGGGGGAACCGAGCACGAGGAGCCAGGGAGAGACAAAGTAGGAAGACAACAGCAACGAGGAACCAGCAACGACAGAACCAGCAACAACAAGGAACCAGCAAAGTGTGACAGCAGAGGGAGAGTATACACTCACCGGCCACTTTATTAGGTACCCCATGCTAGTAACGGGTTGGACCCCCTTTTGCCTTCAGAACTGCCTCAATTCTTCGTGGCATAGATTCAGCAAGGTGCTGGAAGCATTCCTCAGGGAGTTTGGTCCATATTGACATGATGGCATCACACACTTGCCGCAGATTTGTCGGCTGCACATCCATGATGCGAATCTCCTGTTCCACCACATCCCAAAGATGCTCTATTGGATTGAGATCTGGTGACTGTGGAGGCCATTTGAGTACAGTGAACTTATTGTCATGTTCAAGAAACCAGTCTGAGATGATTTCAGCTTTATGACATGGCGCATTATCCTGCTGAAAGTAGCCATCAGAAGTTGGGTACATTGTGGTCATAATGGATGGACATGGTCAGCAACAATACTCAGGTAGGCTGTGGCGTTGCAACGATGCTCAATTGGTACCAAGGGGCCCAAAGAGTGCCAAGAAAATATTCCCCACACCATGACACCACCACCACCAGCCTGAACCGTTGATACAAGGCAGGATGGATCCATGCTTTCATGTTGTAGACGCCAAATTCTGACCCTACCATCCGAATGTCGCAGCAGAAATCGAGACTCATCAGACCAGGCAATGTTTTTCCAATCTTCTATTGTCCAATTTCGATGAGCTTGTGCAAATTGTAGCCTCAGTTTCCTGTTCTTAGCTGAAAGGAGTGACACCCGGTGTGGTCTTCTGCTGCTGTAGCCCATCTGCCTCAAAGTTCGACATACTGTGCGTTCAGAGATGCTCTTCTGCCCACCTTGGTTGTAACGGGTGGTTATTTTAGTCACTGTTGCCCTTCTATCAGCTCGAACCAGTCTGGCCATTCTCCTCTGGCCTCTGGCATCAACAAGGCAGTTTCTGAAATACTCAGACCAGCCCTTCTGGCACCAACAATCATGCCACGTTCAAAGTCACTCAAATCACCTTTCTTCCCCATACTGATGCTCGGTTTAAACTGCAGGAGATTGTCTTGACCATGTCTACATGCCTAAATGCACTGAGTTGCCGCCATGTGATTGGCTGCTTAGAAATTAAGTGTTAACGAGCAGTTGGACAGGTGTACCTAATAAAGTGGCCGGTGAGTGTATATGGCTGACTGAACAAAGGCAGGGCTAACGAGCTGATAAGGAGCAGGTGTGAGCGGAGAGCAATCCAGGAAGGAGCTATGGAAAAGGAGACCAACACAAGAGGGCAAAAAATAAAAACCAAAGAACTTATATATCCAGAAAATACAACAAAATATGAATTAGACCAATAAAACTTGAAACCATGGAGCACAGTAAAGCATAACAGAACCAAGACTGTGAAAATCTGTTCTCCATTTTTCATTTGGATGAAATAACAGCTGCATGAATCATGACAGCAGACAAGATAGAGGAGAGCAGGAGGCGGGGTTACCAATCTACTTGCACTGGAGAGCAGAGTTCGCTGCTTTTATATGTTGGTGCCAAAGTCTCCAGTAGCAGTCGCTAGATTTGGCGCTAGGCACTTTTTTTTTAAATCAAAGTGCTAGAGGGGTCTGAAAATTGG